GCTAATGTCTTCCATTAACCTCTTGATTCTATACCTAGGAAATAAATGCATCTTCCCAAGGAAACATGCACAGGGAGTTTGTTACAGCCGCATTTTCAGCAGTGCGAATTGGAAACAAATTCTGTCTCCAGACAGACATAAATGGATAAACATCTAAAATGCACACGTACCCAACAGAGTACCATTAGCATTAACAATGGTCTGACTCTATGAACTATGCTTAATAGGAAAGCCATTTTTTAAAGAATAGCATGGTACAAATCTAATTATATAGAGCTTAAAGACATTTGTAAATTGGTAAAAAGAAATGAATAAATAACACAGAGGTAAAACTTGGAAAAAAGGAAGGAAGGAAATGAGATACATGGGAGTCTAAAATTGTATTTTTGATTATTTGTATTTTAATCAAAAATGTCTAGAGGGAAAATGACCAAATGTTAACTTGTTTTTAGTTGGGATGGTGTATCTATAAATTATCCATTCATTCTATAGGCTCTGAATGTTTGAATGTTTTATATTTTTAAATTAAACATTTAAAAATAAATACAAGTGAAAACCATAAAACTACAGGGATTAGAAACAGGAGCTTGCCGAGAGCTGGAGAGGAAATGTGCTTTGCCTACCAAGGGTCCCGAAGAGTTCTCAGGGATGCTAGCACTGTTCCATGTCTGCTTCTGGTGGTAGTTACGCAACTGTATGTCAAAATTCACAGATACACTCACTTTTTAAAAGGTGAATTTCATTAGATGTAAATTATACATTCATTTAAAAATGAAAAGTGAAAAAATACAAATAATGGTAGGAAGAAAAGGTACACAGTTACTTTATGAGCTCATTAATGAAAAAATAAATACTACATACAATTGATTATTATTTGGGATTAATGCATTCCCAATCACACACTTTTTAGTTCAATGTATATTAGAAATAATCAAAATAAATGCCTCTCTACTGCACAATCTGTTGAAATGCCCAGCACTTTGTCCCTTCCTTCATCAAAGCAAGATGCCCCTTCAGACCATCCTCTCCTATCTTGACTGCCTAAATAAATTCAAAGCAAGATTTCTGACGCTCCTGTTACCATTACTGAAGTCCTGGTAACCAGATGCTCTCACATGTGTTTGGTTATTGACTGAGTGACTAAATGAAATGATCCAGAAATGCTCTGAGATTCCTGCTGCTATTTTACTGGGGGCAATCCCTCCCCCACTCCCTGACTGTTTCAAATTTTTCCTTTTCCCACATGATCTCTACCCTCAGAAATTTTTGTTCCATGATTTCCTATAGTTTTGCCCTTCCAGATGTCAAAGAAAGGCTATGCTCAGGTTTGTGGTGACTCTTGGGTGTTCTTAAAAGAAAGAATGAGGGACGGAAAACTGACTGGAAGCTCTGAGTCAGAATGACTGACCATCACTATCTGTTCAGCACTGAGGTGTGTCCCAAGATAGGGTGTTTCAGCATGCAAATTAAGAAAGACTCAGGAAAATTGGGCTGAGTGGGTCACTCCTTTCCATGTACTCTTGGCTTCTCTTCAGGCAAAACCATCTTTCCCAGAAGTTATCTGTGTAGTTCTCTTTGTCTTTGATTGGTCAAAACTGGTCACATGACCACACCAGGATTAATGACTGGCAAAGAAAATGAGGAAAATGATAGGCTTGTATCAAAAATGACTCTCTCCCTTGATCTGGACACAAAACCAGAACAACATCAGTTTATGTAGTAAGAGAGGAGGAGTATTGGAGACCATGAATTCACAGTGGCTAATTTTGCATCCTTCCCTAAGGGATAAATGAAGGCTTGAGATTATGATATAACCCTTTAGAGACTTCCCATTCACTTTTGGGATGGGCCACCCTCTCCCACCCACTAAGACTAAATTTACAACTACTAAGATAAAAAAGAACACTCCAGAGCAAGATACTCCTTAGCATAAGATCATCTCCACCCTCTTGAGTTATCCCAGGGTTATCCACTGCCTGCTGAATCATGACTTGAATCTGCTAGCCCCTCCTATCATTGGATACACCCATTACACGGCACATACCCAGTAAATAGTGGCTTGTTTGGAGTATCTGGGTTTTTCCCATCCTGAGGCATTGGCCTCCCAGGCCCCCATCATGCATTGCTAAATTTGTCTCTATTTCTTATTTTATCCTTTGTCACACCCCTCATACAGGCAGTTAGGGATCTTGACCAACGCGGATCTGTCCTCGACAGAGGGGTGTGAATGTAGGCCAGCTACTGTAAATGCCTGCCTCAGCATACACAAACAAAGCATTGACTTAAACCCTACCTGGAGTCTAGGGAGTGAAGTTACAAAGCCTTCCCACTCCTTCGGGTAACAGGCTTCCCACGCCTGTTACTCTTGAACTTGGTTCATTTAGGGAAGGATCCTATAAACTGAGAATTCTGAAACCTGCAAGAGAGAGACCTGTGAGCATGAGAAGCCTCCTGGAAAAGACATCTCAAGGAAAAGAGTGTTTCCATCACTGTGTCAGATGATATGTATTTAATGCCCCCTACAGTATTTTGCTAGTCATAGTGCTAAGAGTTACAAACATAATGATGAACAGGACAAATGCAGAGGGAAAATGATTGTCTCTCAGGCAGCTTTCCATCTTGGCACCTACACTCTGCATCCAAGGGAGATGAGCCTACGTGGATGAATGGAAACTCCAAGAGGTATCAGGAACAATCTTTCTTCTTCTTTTTTTTTCTTCTTCTTCTTCTTCTTCTTCTTCTTCTTCTTCTTCTTCTTCTTCTTCTTCTTCTTCTTCTTCTTTTCTTCTTTTCATTCTTACGAAAGCTTTGCAAGGCCACGTTACTCACTGGAAAGGTATTTCCACGGCTCCCGTGGTTCTTGCCTCATAACTAGAAACATACGGCAACCAGGCTGCAGATCTGAGCAGGCAGGTGAGTCGTTTCCAGCTAAGGTTCGCCCACACCATTGTGTTACCTGGTCAAGGCACTGGCCCTCGAAATCCGGTGCCCCCAGAGCCACCAGGGGGCGCCCGAGAAACTCGATGAACTCCACTGCTACCTAGAAAGCCAGCCTGCCTGCTGCAAACCCATCCCGTTTGCGTGGTTTCCTTTTTTTTTTTTTTTTTTTTTAACTTTTTTTTTATATATGACTTCTTTGTAACAGGGGAAACTGACACACTGGATGAGGCTTGGCACCTCCCTCGCTCAGGTCAGCCTGCCTGCTAACGAGACCAGGACTCAGGGAGACATAGCTCAAGTACTGGCTGAAAAAAGCCAAGGTCCACTGTCAGTTGCTTTTCAGAAGATTTCAAGTTTCCAGCTCTTCCCATCTGCGGTGATCTTCTTTCAGAGTGGCTGGTCAGCGCAGAGCACCCAGTCAGGACACATTTTATGCCAAGAAGCACCTTGTGGACCCATGACCTCACTGTGTACTTCGGTCCTTAAGTAAACAAGGAGTGCTGCCTTAGAAGCAATTCCCACCCGAGTGAGCCGCGGATGAGAAGTTACACACCTAGGAAAACACTCAAGCTTGAACATCTGGGCACCCAGATGTTCTGCTGTTCTCCACCCGATTGCCAGAAACAGAGGACAGAAGTCAGTTCTGCTGGAAATTTTATTCTCTGCAGTTTTATTCTCTGCAATTTCAGTTATAGTCAACCATTGTCTGAAAGTGTAAAGTGAAAATTCCAGAAAAAACAATTCACAGTTTTAAATCACACGCTTTTCCGAATGGTATAACGAAGTCCCTCACGCCCTCACCTTCTCACTTGGGCATTTGCACCATCCTTTTGGCTCAGTGGGACGTGGATCAGTGCACAGCTCTTGCCTGATATGTGCAAGGCCCTGGGTTCCATTTCCTGAACCATGCGCTGGTTCAGGTGCCCATTTGTCACTTAGTAGCCTCAGTTATGAGCTCAACCGAGGCAGCGTCACGGTGCTTGTGTTCAAGTAACCCTAGTTTTGGTTACTGTCATGAAGCACAAGAGCAGAGATGCTTTCAATTTGCATATGCTAAATATAAGCCATAAAAGTGCCTCCTTTATGTGTAAAACTCAACTGCAGTAAGGGATTTTGACAGAATTCACACTCACTTAACTTCATTACAGTGTATTGTTATAGTTATTCTATTATTAGCTCTTGCTTGTTTCTTGCTTGCGTAATATGTAAATTAATCTTTATCACAGGAAAAAGGCAGAATATATAGGGTTTGGCACTCTCCTGGTCTCAGGCGTCTGCTGGACATCTTGAACCATATCCCCTGTGAGTAAAGAATATTGTAGTTTCCTGTGACTGCTGTAACAAAGTACTAAAGCTTAAAACAATGGAACTATGTATTCCTGTAATGGTTTTGGAGCCAAAAGTCTGAAATTGAGGTGTCCCCAGGGCCGTGTTCTCTCTGGGGGCCCGAGGGGAGAATCCTTTCCTAATCCTTCCTGGTGCTGGTGTTTGCCAGCCATCCTTGGCTTTCCTTAGCTTGTAGATAGTGGACTTTTCAGCATCTGTCTTCTGGGTCTGTCTGTCTCTTTTTATAAGGACCTCCATCATTAGCTAAGGGTCTTATGCCTTAGTGACTTCATTTTCATTTGAGTCCTCCTGTAAAGACTATCTCTAAACAAGGTAACATTCTGAGAAACTGAAAGGCAGGACAGGACTTCAGCATATCTTTTGGGTGAAGGGCAGCAACCACAATGTAGAAAAGATAATGTTCAAAAGCTCAGGATGGTAAACCCCGAGTCATGCATGCTCATGACTCACATCACTCTGAGGTTCCAGGGTAATGCTACAAATCTATGGCCAGGTATGGTAACACATAACTGCAACGCCAGCACTCTAGGAGGCTGAGATGGGAGATCACAAGTTTAAACCAGTTAGTGACTTTGAGAGACCGTGTCTCAAAATAAAAATAGGAGCTAGAAAGTAATTCAATGTGAAGTAGTTCAATTGAATCCAGTACTGGGTTCAATCCCCAGTACTGGATGGATGGAGTTAATATTCTATAAAGAGTAACACACAGACAGTTGTACTGTGGAAAACTACAAATGGCGAATTTATTGAAAATAGCGTTATAACCCAAGTAAGCATCATAACCCAAATTACAATAAATATGCTATATTTATAGACTATCATGTATTGTTAAATATAAACAGGCACAATGTATTTTTAGTGTTTATTCGAACAAACAACTTTCATCATCAGGCAGGTTCAAATCAGAAGTGGCTCAAGAGCACCACCTTGGGGACCCAAAGGGATGAAGGAGGCCTTTACAGGCACAGAAGTACCATAAAATAATATATGATTCATTAGGGTTGGCTGCAGCTGCCATATTCACAGGAAACCTCCAGTTTATATGGGACTTTAAGTTCACTGGCTGTTCCTGATTGGTTGAGCTTAAATTCTCTTTTTTCTTTAATATAATATATACATTTACAATAAATAGCTCAAGTTAAGTCTTTTTTATGTTTGCAAAACAACCAAAGTTCAGATCACTTAAGAGAATGCACTGGCCTTGACATTTAGGGAATCCACTATCATTCACTTAAACACTATAATCAGAGGCAAGCCAACCCCCGAGTATTCAGATATTTTTGCCTAAAACTTTCAACAGAGAGTGATTATTGTACTGTTACAAAATCTAGCATAGAGCTCTTTCCTACAGTTAAGCACAGAGAACTCGTGTGAGGTTCACAGCCTTCTCAGGCGCTCATTACATCAGGAAGCCGTCTGCCTCTGTCTTCGCCATCAGCGAAGAGCCAGCCATTCTTTCAAGTTTCAGCCAGAGCGCCCAGGGCCCTGCAGGCACCGATTCAGCTCCTGCCACGGCTTCTCGACGAACAGCGTCAGGGCCAGCCCAGAGACCAAGGTCAGCACACAGTGTCCAGAGAAAAGATAGAACTGCAGGGAAAGAGGGCAGCGGGCACAGTTTTACTCCACGATCCCTGTGCGCTTGGATCTTACCACGCACCACGCTGGCTGTGTAAAATGGATCCGGAGAACAAACAGTCCCACAAGTAAAAATAAAATAAAAATGTTATCCTGTGCTGAAACCCTCCCTCCTTGTCCCTCAAATAAAACAGAGAACAATAGAGCTCCCTAGAAACAAGCAAAACAAAACAAGCCTCTATCAAAGCCATTAGTTTGCTTTGTTGCTAAGAGAAGAACAAATCATGGCATTATCCTAGAACTCAGGGTGGGCACTCACTCACCATGTTGGTGTCTGTGTAGTGGATGAGCGTCTCCTGAAGTCCATTGTAAAGGATGATCAGCATCGGATGCACCAGGTAGCAGGCGTAACTAATACTGGCCAAGAAACTCCAGAGATCACAAGAAAGCATCTGGTTCACCAGACCTGGAACAAGAACAGGCACCGATTCATCAACCCGAAAGCCCCTCTCCGAGCTGATGAAGACCCGACATCCTGGAGTCTCCTAATCTCCCTGCTGTCCTTACCCATCAAAATCTCCTGCATGATCTCCTGCATATCACCAGCATCTAGAATATTTCCTGTCACAAAACAAATGTACAAAAATGTTTCATTTAATTAAGTGAATAAGCAAAGATGAACTGATGGACAAAAGAAGCATTTGCCCCAAATGAAGTCCAAATAGGACGAACCTAGATGACATCGGAACACAACAGAATAAAGGAAAATTAAGCCAACAAAGAAAGAGTTCTCAGGTAGGTCAAACACACAGGAATGTGCCCTACGCTCATGGTGAGCCACCATCAACTCCTGCAAACTCTCCACCCCATTAGGTGCTGAGCTCTTTGGTTTTATAGTTTTGTGGTCACTTTAAAATTTTGATTTGGCCAGTTGGGGTTTAGCTCAGCACACAAGCATCTGCCTAGCAAGCGTGAGGTCATGAGCTTGATCCCCAGTATCAAAAATTCTTTTTGTTTTGGCTTTAAAAATGTGTTATAAGCATAAAATCTGTTTCTAGCTTTATATTTCTACATGTCTAGGTACAACTAGAAATTAAAATAATTCAGGCCACGCTTAAGGGTTGCTGAAGGTGACATGTCCTTGAAGAGTATCAGGGTTGGGGGCTGGGGTTTAGCTCAGCAGCATAAGCGCCTGCCTTGCAAGCAGGCAGTCGTGAGTTCGATCCCTGGTACCGGTAAAAAGGAAAAAGACAAAGAAAAAAAAAAAAGAGTATCAGGGTTGGAAGAAGATCGGCAACTCAAGAAGACAAATTTGAGTTTAACAAAACCTGCGGGGTCCTTGTTGCTACTAATCCAAAATGGTTGAAATAATTACTTGAACTATCAAAGTCTTTTCTAGTCCTAAAAGTCTGAATTAAAACTTTCTTCAAATGTTACTTATTAAAAGAAAAATTGAAAGCAAAATTTTCTAAAACTCTATTTGAACACTCACCTCTTCCATTCATTTCCTACTCGTCGGTTTTGACATCTCGTGGAAAGTACTGGACGTACAAATCAAGCATCAGTTGCTCTCATAATTGGGGGCTGGTTATGACAACGCACTTGATATATTGCTCAAGAATAAGCAAAAGGACTCATTTGTCACTTAGATGAAAGTAGGTGTCACCTTACTCAGATTAATGACGGAATTTGTTAGTTCCTTTGTAATGATAATGCTAAAATGTTTCATTATCACAACCAAAGTCATCCTCTCTCCTTGTGTACATTAGCCGGTAGTTCTCAAGCATTAGCACTTCCCTGTCTAGACTGTGTGCCAGTGTCACACCCCACCTGTTCTGAGGCCCTGTCCAAGAGCATTGTTGCGCGGTGAGCAGTGGTAGGGGGCTCTGGTTATGGAATCTGCAGTTTCCGTAAATACAGACAAGTCATGCAGAGAGAACACAGCCACTTCCTGTTCAGCATCATTTCCACTTATAATGGAAACAATTTTAAATTGGAATATTAAAGAACAAATCTTTCATCATTATATTAAAATACGCAAAAATTCAAGAATGATTTAAATCCACATCTCACAGGGAGGATATCATGTAGAAATAAGGAGCGCTGACCTTTGACTCTGCACTTGGTCCTGAGTGCATTTTTTGGCTGAGACACCAGCTGCTCACCTTCACTGTGCTGCTTCATCTCTGGACACATTGCTCTCACTGAGAAATAGAGCCGGTTACAGTCTATCTCCCAGGGCTGTGGTCAGCGTTACGGGGTGGGGATGGGAGATCCCCCAATGACGTTATCCCCGAACCTGGTACACAGTATGTGCTCAATCAGCTGGAGTTGTTAGGATCAGCTAATTGTTTCCTATTTTAAACCATGATTTCCAGCTGCCTTTGCTGAGGCTTAACTGGTTCTGCTGCACAGGCTTAGTCTGAGCTCATCTTGGTTGTGTCCTAGAGGGTAGAGCTGCTGAGCCTTCCCCTGACTCAGTCCCATGGCTTGAGGACTTCTGGGAGGTTTGGGGACAGAGCATTTGCTGAATGCAGCCGGCCAGCCTTCATTTGCCATTTGCTGACACCGCTGACACCACACACACCCCATTCTTACTTCATGCCAAACAGAGAAGGGAGGAAAACATCAGGGGCATACAGTATCTTTAATCTGTCTTGCCATTCACATCTTTGATCCGTCTCATTTCTTACACACCAGAGCTGACTTGACAGAAATTCAGTGCTCTTTATGGAAGGGGATCTTGGCAACATTTACGTCTCCTCCCCTCAAACAAGGAAACTGAAGTCCAAAAGGGATGTGACCAGAAGGCTTCTTGTCCATGGCACTAAATCATTTTTTGTTTTCTCACTACACTACTCTGCCGAAGACTTTTCTAACTTCTAAACTAGAGTCACTGGAGAGACCACAAGTTTTTCTTTCAGAACATGCATTTGTAAAGAAAGCAGTACAAAATTTTAAAACAGTCTATGTGGAATGTTTTCCCCAAGCATGGGAAAATAGATGTTTTTGAGTTGGTGTGAATCACTCATCAGGGCTGGGGATATGACACGGTGGCACAGCACCTGCCTGACAAGCACAAGGTTGTGAGTTCAATTCCTGGTAACACCCCCCCCCCAAAAAATCATTCATCAACCACTCCAACAAACAGAAGCTCTTCTGGGTATGCATTTTATTTTAAATTTGTCACCCTCAAAGGACAGGGTGAGCTCAAGAGTAAAGTGACACCTCCTACCTCCATAACCTTCCTGGCAGGCAAAGATGATCCAGCCCACAGCCGCTGCCCACAGAGTCCGGTGAAGGGCCTGGTAGATGGCAGCCGCCACAGAAGAGACAGCGGAGATGTCATCCACTATGTATGCCAGAGCAACAACCACAAACAAAGTCAGTAGACAGCAAGTCCACCCCAGCAAGGCCTGCACCTACAGGAAGGGAAAAGCAGTTCACAGCCCATGTTAGTCACTTAGGTCAGTTTGCATTCTCACATTTTTAATGTTATTTCTGTCACTTCAGATCTCTGTGTGAACCTGTCACTGCACAAATTTGACTGACATGAAGGTGCAGATTAGTGGGAGTTGGGAATGATCTAGGAGAAAAGAAGGGGTGTGACTGTAAAAGCTGGAATGAGGAGGCCGTGTGGGGATGAAAGAGTTCTGCTCCTTGGTCATGGTAGTTATGTAAATCTCCATGTAACACATTGTCTAGACCTACACACATATGCAAGGGATGCAGGTAAAACCAGTGGACCTGAGATCTATGGACTGTACCAATGTCAAAATGTGAGTGTGATCATGTACCATGCTTGCAACCAGGCTGAAGGGTACATAAGCCCTCTCTGTGGCATTCTGACAATTTCTTGTGCATCTATTAACATTTCAAAGAAAAATCTTTAAAAGGTAAGTAAATACTGTTCAAGTCCACTTCCACCACCGCCCCTTAACCAAAGAGGGCTTCTTGTTTGGTCCTGCCCTCACACTGCAGTGCATCGCCCCTGCCTGGGCTACACTTTAGTCACTGGAACATAGACTGGCAGGAGGATTGAGAAAACGGAGCAGTTGTGCTCTCAGCAAACAGACCCATGACTCAAATGCTCCTACTGGCTGTTTAAGGTCACACCACCCTTCTTGGCAAACCCATCTTCCTAGGCTCTTTCTTTGCCATTCTCTAGTTCTTCCATGATGATGTCTATACTTAACTGACCCAACATTATTTCAGTCTACCATCTTGTTTCTGAGAAATCTAACCTAGTTTCTGGATATAGGAAAGGAAAGGTGAGTCCGAAGAGGTCTCTACTGTCACGTGACAAGCCCCCTTTATGCCTTGGCTAATTCACTGGCTTCTACAAACCTGTTTGTAGTCTTACAAAATGCATCCCAGACATACGTCTCCTTCCTGTCCTTACCTGCCTTTCTACTCACAGACCAGCAGGGAGCGTGCCATCTCATCCCTAGCCCATGCCACACATCAGCCTCCTCCAGTTCAGACTTTGGGTCCTTTTGTTCCAACTTTCTAAAGGTCTGAGTTGAAACAATCCAACCTTTCCACACTGTTTCCCCAGCTCAGCTTGGCTGGTCCCAGCTCTGTGCTCCCTGGTCCTGACTTTGGCCCCAGAAATGGTTCCCCATTGCTCCTCCATCTTAGCCTTTCTCCGTCACTCACATCCATTTTCTCCCCACCCCACCCCCGTATGTCCTGGGCTATGTTGAAACAACTTGTTTATGATCTACAGCTGAATTGTGCATGACTGGGAGAAATCATAAGTCTAACCCTTAAAAAAATCACACAGCCCTCTCCATCATTTTCTGCTGGTTAAATCCTATGTCTTGTTCCTGCCTTGAGCAACACAAGATTCTGCCAGCACCAGGGCTTCTCTGAAAAGTCTAAATGAGGTACACACAAAACCCACGTAAGCAAATATGAGCCTTGCCAGAGTTGCAGCCTAGTGGTGCAATCAAATTCCTGGTCCTTCTTCCACTGGGAAGCAGATTATTATTCATTTGTTCACTTATTGAACACATTTAGTGAATCAGAATATCTCAGAACCAGATGCTGGATATTCAGAAGTGTGTAACAGATGGTGTGTTCAAGGAGCTCACACTCTGGGTGAAAGAGTGTGTTACCGTATGGTAAGAACAAAAATGCATAGAATACAAGGGAACAGGAAGGAGAGACACAACCTGGCCCGGGGGAAAAGGGAAGATTTCCTACTGGAGGAAACTCCACGTGAGTCTTCAAAGCTAAACAGGAATTAAGCCAGAGGAAAGGAATGGGTATTGGGGAAAGCTGGAGAGAGGAACACAGTGTTCCAGGCAGAGCGGGAATCGTGAGACACACAGACGCCAGGAATAGTTTGTGTGTGACAAAAGCAGAAGATACCATGAGCAGACAGTGTCACTGACATGTTACACCCAAGGTGGATAGCAGCAAAAAAAGATGACACTGGAGAAACGGAGCCTCAGTGTGGAGACCTTAAGGGTCTTCCTGCACAGATCAAACTTCATCCTGGAAGCTATTGAAAGGTTTTGCACAGTTCAAGGTCAGAGCCAAGGTTACTTCTAATGTAGATTTGAGATCAACAAGGCTACAGACAAGCAAATTAAGAAAGAAATCCAGACAAGAGATGAGAAGGTCAGTTAGGAAGGCTCAGAGAGGGTGGCAGGAGAATTAAGCTACAGGGCTTGAGGTTGCCTAAGGGAAGAGTGGCCAATGAGAAGACGGCTTGCAAGTGAACCCAGGCACACAGCTTGAGTAGTGAGGTTGGATGGTGGTCCAGAAGGATTCCCCACAAGGGAACCCAGGAGAGCAACGTGTGCTCAGGGCTCACCTGGAAGGCAAAATAACAGCTTCTTCCCTTCTAGACACCTCATGTCCTGATTCACAGACAGAATCATCTCCAAGAATCCTGCCTATAGGGTTCCGGGAGAACATGGCGGACAGACAACAGCAACTACCGGAGGCTCTCTGAAAGGCTTGGCTCAGAGGCCAGGAATGATGCGGACTAAGGAGACATGAACCGGTAGAGATATGCTCTGCTGACTCAGGAACGAACTGGGCTGAGAGAAACCAACTTAGAATACAGTCCTGGCGCTAAAATAGGAACAGAAAAGACTTGGTGTGGAGGCTCGACCCCGTGCCATTGGAAACCGCGATTTGGGTTTCCCGCCGCCCTACGGCTGGCTGCCTCCACTGCAGCTCGGCAAGGAGAGATGCGCAGAAGCTCTGGGAACGGGAGTCTGCGAACGGAGTCGAAAACAGGACGCACAAGGAGGCGTACACGAAAACTGACTGGTGGGAGGTGAGTGAGAGAAACTGACCCCATACCACAGTTTGACTCCAGCGGAGGACTTTCTGGGCTCAGGCAGTCCTGTAAGAGCAGGGCGCGGTGGCGACTCCAGCCACACATTCCCCTCTGGGACGGGATTGGTGAAAAGTGCCTGGCCTGCGTGACGCTGCGGGCAGACTCACTAGGCTGGCCTAACCCAGATCCCAGAGCCTGACGGTGGCCCGGAGGAGCGACTGACTCCTGCGTAGGCTGCCTCCTCCGCAACTTCCTGGTGCTCTGCGGTGGGCGGGAACACCTAGCCAGCGCAATTTGATCAGGCTGTGGCTGACAGGCAGGGAAGCCGGGCCTCCTATGTAAGCTTGCATTTTATAAGGAACAGAAAATATGGGGAAGGGAAGCAACAGGAAAGGCTCCTCGGCCCCCAATTCTGAGAAACAGGCAATAGTGGACACCGCACCAATATACATTAAGCGCCATATAAAGAGCCTCATAGACCAATTCAGGAATGAAGTTATCAACGACCTGAAACTAGAAGTATGCAGAATAGTTAGAGAAATGCTAAGCACCACCCAGGAAAAAACAGATGGTAGAATGGAAGAACAGAAAAAGAGGGGAGAATTGCTTGATGGAGAAAACAGAGAAAGCATTGAATATGTGAAGCATAGGGACTATCAAGAAGTTCAAAGGGACTATCAAGAAATTAAGAAGTCTATCCAAGACTGGCATAACAGCTTGAAAGAAACTAAGGACAGACTATCTGAACTGGAGGGCAGACTTGTAATATGGGAGAATGAAATGAAAAACTTCTTAAAAATAACAAAGAAACAAACAGCAATAATACAAAAACAAGAAGATGATAAGAGGAGCCATAACTTAAGGATTAAGAACATAAAAGAAGAAGTAGGGACACAAACAAGTGAACTACAAAAGCTACTCACAGAAATAATCCAGGAGAATTTTCCTAATTTAGCAAAAGGTAAAGATACTCAGATGTATGAGGCATACAGGACCCCAGCTACCTACAACCCTAACAGAGAAACACCCAGGCATATAATAATAAAAATTCCAGAAATTCAATACAAGAACAGAATATTAAAAGCTGTAAGAGACAAGAAACAGACCACTTACAAGGGAACACCCATCAGAATTACAGCAGATTTCTCTGCACAAACCATCAAATCACGAAGAGCATGGGGGGAAATAATTCAAGCTTTGAAAGATAATAATCTCCAGCCAAGATTGAGATATCCTGCACAACTGTCCCTGGAAATTGATGGAAAAACGAGGTGCTTCCAGGATAAAGAGGAACTGGGGGAATTTGCAACCACCAATTCAACCCTACAGAAAGTATTGCAGGATATTCTAAAAAAAGAAAAATACAAAGAACCCAGAAATAGTGGCGGGGAGGCCACAACGAATGGAGCAGAGAACAAAATGAAGAAGACAAACTGACAGCTACTGAAAGAAAAAGAGCTCAACAGAAATGAGACAGAGAAAATTGGATGATAGGAACAGCTATTTTGGAGAAAATGACATCTTAATAGGTAATACTGATTTAGTACCATCTTGTTTTGAAGTCTCATCTAGCTTTTGTTCTTCTGTCTCCAATGGGCTAAACAGGTTGTATCTTATTGGATTTTATTATGTACGATAGTATAAGCAAAAACCTTTTAAAGACAAGGAGATTATACAGAAACCATTGTTCATTTTCTGTTAGTCGATTCTAAATACTCTATAATGCTGTCATTCTCTTAAATGGTTTTACATTGTTTTGATATACTTAATGCTACAGTATACGAAGTTGTACTCAAGGACTTCAAGGAAAGAGTCAATATGGTAACTACTTTTGGGTCGGAATTATCTGGTGGTGAAACACTATTCTGCTTAAATGGTTATGTTTTGATCTGCGCTGTTTCGCTGTTATACCCTCTTTTTTCTCAATCTCTACTCCATTATTTACTTTTTTATTTTTATCCGTTTAATTAAAGGGAAAAAAATAGCAGGATATAATATAGTAACCCACTTTGACTTTCTATTATCTTGATTTGAAGCCCTGTATTACTCTCACCATCTTGTTTTTGACTGAGGTTCCTCTATTCTGTTTTGCTGGATAGTATCAGGTTCGAAAGTTTAGGCATCAGCTGAGAAGATAATGAGATTCATTATAACGCCCATTCTCGTTGACTTTTATCTACTTTTGAAGACCTACAATGTCTCCAATGTTTTGGTTTTGTCGGTTTTGTTCTTTACTGTTTTGTTCAATTGTATTACAACTAATGATATAGGCAATTCTATTAGAGATAGCGGGAGGCATTATGGTAACCATTGTTGATCACCTTGTATTATGTTTTTATATTATCTATTATGTCCACCCTTTTGACTTGACCGATTCTGTTCTGTTATGTCACATTTGGTTTTACTCTCTTCCAAAAAAGCAATAAGAACCGTGGGAGCAATGAAACCCAAAATGTGTAATAGTCATTGTACAAAAGAGAGGAAAAGAAAGTGCTCTAAACTATATAACTGTATGTATATTTAAGTGTATAAGATAGAAAATGATATCACAGAGTTTTATTGGATCATTGAACAGAACTGTTTGCAGTATCATTGTTGGAATGTCCACTCTACAAGCTTTAATTTTGTGACTTGAACAATTATTTCTAAGATGGCAATATGTAATCCATTAACTAGTGATTTCCTACTGCGCATTTTTTTCTTCTGTAAATCTGTATAACTTGTACCCCTTCACTGTTTTTTTTTCTTTTCTCCTTAAATAAAAAAAAAAGAAAAAGAAAAAAAAAAGAATCCTGCCTATAGAAACCACAGAGCTGATGCTATTAAAAATCCAACCCAACTCACTATCCCCTCCCAAAGAGGATCTTTGTATAACCTCAAGGGATGTGCACTCCCACATCACTGGTTTCCTTGGGTCTGTACCAAGGCTCTGTGGAATGGATCCTGCTGGGCTTCAGATCTAGAGCTTCTGAAGGAGAGATCATTAAAGAGAATCAGGATCTGGCAAAAAGGTAAGTTCTGCCCATCTCTTAGCATGAAGAGACAGCCACAACCCACCACAGCATAATAGAGCACCTAGCAGTCCTTCTGTCCACGGCCTGGAAGAGCATGACCACATGGGCCATACCAATCCTACCCAGACCCTTGCTCTTAAAGGGAGCCAAGAAGAAACCATACCTTAGTTTTGAGAAGGTTTGACTGATGGTTTTGATGCATGAAAATGCTCAAAAAGAGGCCCACAAGAAATGGTCCACATCGGCAGTAGGGTTTGGTATAATATTCCGAGAAATATAACACAGTCTCTTTTTCACTGAAAAATACAAGGAAATAAGGCCAAAGGTTATGTTTGATCTGGGCATATTAAAGGGAGTCCCAGCAGTGGCCATTAGAGTAACTAGCAAATGCAAAGGTAGATTCAGGGCACAGTTTCATTTTCTCCATAAACATCTACCATAGATGATCTCATGAACCCCAGTAGATTTGTACAGATTTCAAGTTCTCTTGGTTTCCATCCTGGGTCCCAAGGATCTATGATGACTTCATCTTTCATTTTAAAGAATTATTTCTGCTCTCCTTCATAAGGATAGTTCCAAGAATGTGGCACCCAGAAGAGACTATTTTGACAGAAGTTGCATGAGGTCCAGGCTGGGTCCGTAAGTGAACACCAAAGAGTATTCTTTAAGACTGTGATTTTCAAGGTAAGGTCCCCTGGCACCAACAGCAGCATCACCTAAGAACTTACTAGGAATCCAAATGCATGCCTCCCTCAAACCTACCACATAGGAGGAAACTGGTAGTGAACTCTGCCATCTGTGCAGTAACATACCATCCAGGTGACCTGATACCCCTTGTTTGAGAAGCCACATCTACTGAGTGTCTGTCACAGGCAACATCCAAACTGCACCCAGGCCCACTAAATCAGGATCTGTGAGCCCAAGATCATGGAGGAGGACTATTAAAGCTCCCCTGGCCCTGCAAAGTGCAGCCTTGATTGACAGCCACTGGTCTATATGTATCATGGTTACCCCCAAAGCTACAGGCAATCTCAGCTTTGAATCCCCTCTCTGTCCACACAGGGATAATGAGAGGCAGGAAAGTCTCTTGAGGATTAATAAGTGGTTCTTCAACCCAGGCTGCCCATTAGGATCCTTGGGAGCAGTTGCATAAGTCAGTTGCCTGGGCCCCGCCCTCCAGAGATGCTGATTTGATGTGTTAGAAGGAAGAGCTGAAGCATTCAGAGTTGAGAACACCCAGCTGAACGTGCATCCAAGGTTGAACCACAAGGAGAGGCGTGAGGAAGCCTCCTCCTGGGTCACCTGGACAAGCTCACAAAGGTGGATGACGTGATATGAAAAGAGTTTAGCGTTCTGGCTTGAGGCTTCATTCATTCAGCTAGTCACATATTCCACCCTGTCACAAATCCATACTGATCACTGATGGACAGGTACCGTTCAGGCCAGTCCTATATGGAGAGGTCAGCTGCTCTGGGAGGGTAACTCCTGCAAAGACATCTGGGGAGGGTGAAAGAGAAAGCCCTGCAAAATTGTACACTATCGGGAGAAACATTCTGGGCTGAGGGCACACCAAGTTCAAAGCCCCTGGATCCGGGAGAGGGGGTTAGTGTGCTGGGTTGGCTGATCTGGAGTCAGCATGCAGGAGGATGACAGATGAGCGGAAACGGCCACTGGAGGAACTCGAGGAGATGACCAGCATGTGTGATTTTCATTTGTGTCACTGGACTGCTGCACTAAAACTAAGTAAGCTGGTAATCATATCAGAGATTCCCTTGTAGCACACAGATGATTATAAGGAAGAAACACCACATATAGCTCCATGGGGAGGCAAACGAGCATTGTGAGTAAGGTTCTAGGTCCAAACCAAGTCTGTACCACCTAGATCCGCGTCGCCTGGGAAAACTTAACCCCAATGTAAGGTTCAGTCTGCACCTGTAACCGAGTTTCCAAGATTTGCTGTTAGAGGAGAAAACATTTCAGCCACGTGGGGGCGCTGCGTCCTCTGAGAAGAATTTCAATGGACAAAGGACCCTGCGAGGGCTTCCCAAGGCAAGTCCAAAGGCCCGGAAGTCTGGAAGCAAAGTGCAATCAACCTTCTCAACCTGGCCGGAAATTCCCCGACCCGTTTTCCTACGAGACGATGGGCACCGCACAAACAGGCTGGCATTCCACTGCCCTCCCTGGGAGGTCCTGGGCAGACAAGGGACAGGCAGGGCTAGACGAACCAGTTACTTACCTAGCTGCAGACAGAGACGCCACCGGAAGCTTATAAGCCAGTGTGAGCATGGCAGTGGCAGTGAAGGACAGCAGGAACAGCACGGCCCCCAGCAGGATCAGGGCATGTTGACTTCTGCAAAGAGGCGAGGACACGGGGAGGGGCGCCCCTCAGTTGGCCTCTATGAAGGTGCCCATCAGAGGAGCCCCTGCCACTTACTTTTGAGAGAACAGGAGGGGCTCGTGGAGGGGTGCGGGGAGCTGGGCTGGAGTGGGAGTCCTTGAGGGGCCTTTTATCCTGACCCTGGACAGGGCCTTGACCCTGTTCCTCATCTAGCCAGGAATGGTAACATTCTTGCTGTCACACGTGAAGTTTACCTTGCTAGGGAATGGAATTGTGCCTGGGAATGACCCTTGTCATCCACAACCCACGATGTGGAGATACATGGCAGCTAGGAGAGAGATGAACTGTTCAACACAGGGTGGGACACAAGGGGGACACAGCCGTGTGCCCCAAAGACGAGGAGGTATTAAAGAGTAGGAAGGGACCCTGTTGTCTCTGACAACTTGGGAGCAGGGCCAGAGACAAAGGCCTAAGTGTGGGTAGTTATGTGGAATGAGGAATCAGGGGTAGGGAGCAGAGCAGAAGAGCAAGAAAAGCTCCTACAAGGGGTGCTTGCTGTCAGAGTGACCAGTGTTCAGTTCTTCAGAATGTTCTACAGAGCCTTTTACCCTGCACCTCAGAACCGGCCTGGGAGATGAGAGGGAGAACAATCCGCCGTGAAGTGTGGCCGCATGCGGACTGATTGCTCCACACTTCAGGATTCTCCATTGTGAGACCCAGAGACTTGTAACACTGAAATGTTCTGGGTAAAGAAAGATTTGAGGGCTCTGGCTAGAAGCAAGCACTGACTGGTTGTACCTGTTCAGAACTGTAAGGATTGGGACTAAGTAGGTCTCCAGTGATGTAGAAATGCCAAATACAAGTTTCTTGAGCTTTAAAAAACAATGTATCTTTATGATTCAAAAACCTCAAAGATATTCATATCCTGTGATCCAGTAATTCCTCTGAAGCATGTGCATTCTAAAGAAATATCAGAGTTGGAGATAAATGTTTGCCATGAAAATATTCATCAGGTCATTGTATTGGAAGCACAAAATTGGAAATAACCCAAATATTGAACAGTGGGAGAAAGTATAAGTAAGATACTGTGTAAGAAATGGAATGTAACACAAACATTACAATTATGTTTATTTAAAGTAAAATAATAGGAGAACCAGCAGTGTCTCGTGAGATCCGCGCCATGTCGGAACTTAGGACACTGGGAAGCCAAGCAAGCACCTCTCCTCCCTGGTAAGCGGTGGCAGTGTGGCAGACTGCGGCCCTTCCAGGGGGAGAACCAGCAGCAGCTCCTGAGATCCACGCCACGTTGGAACTTAGGACACTGTGAAACCAAACAACCAGCCTGCCTCCCTGCTAAGCAATAGTGAACCTACTGATGCACGGCCTAGAGTCAAATATCCCACTTCCTCTACATCCCAACCCCCGCCCCCACCGCCCATTAGCAAATGGGAACCAGAAATCTGAGTGTCTCCTGGGAGGTTGACCATAGCAAATAAGGGGGACTTCCTTCTACCATCTCTTTGAAGGCAAATATTTTTATTACTGTTTTGCTGTTTTCTGATTAATGGTTCTGCTCTATTCAATATTCTGTTTTGATAAGTTCTATAGTGTTCTATATTTCATCTCAATTTGATATATGTGATTGAAAGAACAACTATTATAAAGATAACAAAATATACTGTGATACCTATTACTGTTATCCCGGTAACGTGCTGTGAAGTTCTGTACCAATTTCACTGTATAATCTTAGCTGGCTTTATTCTGTCTTGTTCTGTTGTATACTTTCAAAATAAAATTAAAAAAAAAAATCTAAAGTAAAATAATATAGGGAAATGCATATGTCACAATGCTACCTTACAAGAGATAGTAAAGTATATATGCAGAATGCTTCCATGTATAAAAAACTAAACAAAAAAAATTAGAAGAAAAGGCACCAAAATATTAGCGATAACTTCCTGCCTTGGATGACAAAGGACCTACAAGAACATTTTTCCCTTCTCTTAATACTAATATTTTCCTATACTAAACAAATTTAACAAACTCATTGTTGAACTGCAAACAAAAAGAATAAAAATATATAGCAGCACAATTTGTTTTTTGTTTTTTGTTTTTTTTTTTTTTTTTTTTTAGCAGCACAATTTGTAATAGCTAAATCTTGGAAACAACCAAGATGTCCATCAACTGCAGAGTGGATGAAAAAGGTGTGGTATGTTTACACAATAGAATATTACTCAGCTATTTAAAAAAAAGATGATCTTGAGGCCTTCATAGGCAAATGGAGACAACTTGAGGTTATCCTCAATAGTGAAATAAATAAGTCATATTTATAAATATCACATTGTGTCTCTAGTGTGAAAAGTAATAAGAACTATAGGAGTAATAAAACCCAAAATGTAAGGGCTGGGGATTTAGCTCAGCAGCATAAGCACCTGCCTTGCAAGCAGGCGGTTATGAGTTCGATCCCCGGTACCGGAAAAAAAAGAAAAAAAAAAACCCAAAATATGTAATTACTATTATAAAAAAGAGAGGAAAAGAAAGTGCTCTAAAGGATATAACTGCATGTGTGTTTAAGTGTATAGGATTGACAACCATATTACTAAGTTTTTGTTGGATCATTGAGCAGAACTGTTTGCAGTCTCACTGTTTGAATGTTCACTTTGTATGCTTCATGTTTGTAACTTGAACCACTATTTGTAAGAGCACAATATGTAATTATCAACTAGTGATTTCTTACTGTTTATTTTTTTCAAATTCTGTATTATTTCCACCTTTTTCTTTTGTTTTATTTTCATTTTTAAATTAAAAAAAAAGGAATAAAAATCTTAAAATATGGCATGAAACTAGGCATGGTGGTACATGCCTGTAATTCCAGCAGTTGGGAGGCTGAAGCAGGAGGATTATCGAGTTCAAGGCCAATTTGGGCTACAGAGTGAGTTCAAGGCCAACTTGAACTACATAGATCCTGTCTCCAAAAACAAAAAAATAAATACATATATGGAATGAAAACACACACACACATATATGGCATGAGTTATCTATAAGCTATAAACCTCCCTGTGAATTATTGAGGCCATAAAGTGTTCCTAAAACTCACTAAAGTCAAGGTGATAAATGCCCAGTGTGGGAAGCAGATACACCACTGCATTGCTGAGGGTGCTGTAAATTACTTCATTCTTCCTGGAAAGCAATCCCACAATGTGTAACAAGCACCGCAAAATTGTTCCTACCATTTGACCTTGGAATTCCACTTGGAGATATGCCCCCAAGGAAATAACGAGGAGAGAAAATAGTGTGTTCAAAGACATTCATTGCAGTGCCATTCATAATCGTGAAGAATTGGGCACAATCTAGATGCCCAAGCATAAAAAATGGCATATAAATCTTATACCTGGCAGATATGCAGGTTATATCAATAGTGGAAATGTTTATAAGAACAGCTGGATGCAAAAAGCTGAGCTGTGGGTATTGCACTCTGATACATAACTCTGCAAAAATGCACTGACTTGTTTATGACAAAGACTGGAAGGGAACATAGACAGGAAATGGAAGATGCAGTGTTTCCTTTTCCCAAGTTAATTTCCTTAATTTAATAAAAAGCTGCTCTATACAGAACTGGAGCACTTTATAAGAGTTTCAGGAAAGAGGCCACATGGGGAAGAAAGCTTGTCCAGCAGAGACTCACTTTCCATAGATGAAGAAGATCACTGGTGTCACAAGATGGAACTGGAAGTCGTTGGCCAGGTACCAAGTCCAGCCATTGCACTGAAAAGAGAGAATCGAGGTGAATCCCCTGCCTTTGGGTGCTAGGTATGTTCCACACTGTCCCCGGGAGACAGTGCTGAGTGGAAGGGGCAGCGAGGGTTTTGAGTTACAGCCGTCTCACATGCCTTATCCTGTCCATCCTTGAAGAAGCCTGGATAGGAGGTATCATTATTGCTACTTTATAACATGGACATTCAGACAAGTTCGCTCTTTTGTTTGTAAAAACCAGTAATAGCTGGTTTCCTGGGACTGTTGTGGAAACCAAACTCCTTCACGTTATAGGAATGCATGAGGTTATCCTTATGATACGGTTGGAATTCAGAGGGCCCAACCTTGCTCTCTTCCTGTACCTGCCCCTGCCCCTGCTCTAGGTGGCGCGAATGTGTTTGTCTGGCACCACAGCCTGGCTCCCCATGCACTTTTGTGGGAACTGCAGAATTCCCAAGCCCGACTGACATGGGACTGTCTGGCCAAAGCCACATGGTTCTACAAACTGACCATACTTGTGCAAAAGAAGGCAGTTGCTGATATTCTGTCTTCCATGTGAAGAAAGTTCTATGGGAAATTCTGTTCCTTAGGCCCCAGAGTCCAAGGGAGCCCGATGTCTGCATTAGAAGGGAAGCCCCGTGGTGAGGAAGACTATGAGTGAGAGGGCCCTGTACCTCTGCTCCCTGACATAAATGGGCATGGCTGCAGCTACCTCACCCCTTGGTAGGCCTCGTATTGGCCCTTGGAAAATTCACCAAGCCATGTGATCAAGAGACCCCCTCTGTACTCATCTACGCTAGCAATTGGAGACTCACCGCATTGCGAACCAACACAAAGTTATTCAGCAGCAGCAGGTTCGTCCACCACGCTTGCCGGCAGTTATCCCAGTGGAATTTGGGTACTTCCCAGACAGGTCCCCACGGAACAAGAGAGAACACCCCAACCAAGAAGCACACAGAATACAGGTGAAGGGGCTGCAACCTGTTAGGAGACAGCCAGGAGAAAGGGAATGACTGTCCACAGGATTTTATTCGGTCTCCTCTGTAGGCACATGGTAGACTGCGTGGGTGGCAGCCACCTCCCTACCTCAAGCACCCACGCATTCAGGGGTCTAGAATGATTTGCTGAGCGCCTGTCACGTGTCGTTGTGGGTCTGCTGATGCAAAAGGACTGTGATTTATTAAGCAACTCATCTAGTTAGCCGCTGTAATGGAAGCTTTGTAAATACTCTGTCAGGCATCTCTTATCTCCAATTTACATCTATGACCTCGGAGATCAGAACTCAGAGAAGTTAGGGCAAGTTGCCCACGGTCACTCAACCATAGAGCAACACCAAGATCGGACACCAGTTTGTGGCTCACTCGATAGAAACCTCTTTCCTCTCTCTGCCTTTCCCTTTCCTCTCTTTCTCCTTCCCTCTTTCCCTCCCTCCCTTCAGGGCCAGGTGGGGTGTGACAGTGGGAAACTGGCAGGACTTGGAATGTCTCCACTGACAGGTGTGGCCCTTCCCCAGCAGGGTGATGGAACAGCACTGTCTCTGGTCTGCACCTGTGGTTCACACCTGTGGGCCACCCTGTCCTCCCTGCAGTGACATCATCCTACACAGGGCACGTCCACTGGGCATTCAAGGAGCTGGAATGGAACTGCCTATCGGTGTCAGAGAGATGGAGAGCAGGAGGGTGCGGTGGTTAACTGGTGTCAACTTGCACAAGAAGTGCCCCGCTGACTGGTTTAGCACAGGCTGGATGAAGGACTTCCTGAAGAGGGAAAACCCACCCTGCGTGTGGGTGGCAACAGCCAACAGGCTCATAGCCCGGATGGGATCAAAAGGGAAAGAGGAAAGGCTGCTGCTCCTTCCGGGGGGGCTCCAGGCTTCGCCGTCACCTTCAGACGTCTGTCTCCAGGCTCCAGCTCACACTCTGGCTTCCTACTAACAAACTCACACAGGGCTCTGCCGTGAGCCACTTATGACTGAATCCTTCAGATCCCCAGCAAGCAGACAGCCCTTTTGCACTTTTTCACACCTGACTCTGCAAGCCGCCACGGTAAGCCTACCTCATAAATCCTATCACCTTTCCAAGTCAGGCATGGTGGCACATGTCTGTAATCCTAGTACTCAGAAGGCTGAGGCAGGAGAATCTCTGTGAGTTTGAGGCCAGCATGGGCTACAAAGTGAGCCCAAGGCCAGTCAGCCTGAACTGAATAGTGAAATCATGTCTCAAAGAGACAAAAAAAAAAAAAAAGCATCGTTCCAGATTAGCTCACATGTCTGTTTGCTTAAGTGGAGTTTCTTCTCCTGAGATACTTTGAGAATCCAATGAGATAAAAGACAACCTTTGAAACATCTGCAGCACGATAGAAATGAAAGTGCAGATTCACAGACTGCAGGGAAAGAGAATAAGAAGCCATCAAGAAGAAGCCCTCCCTGCAAATCAGAGCCACGCACAGCCTGCCAGCAGGACAGCCTGACCCCAGCCCCTCCCAGTGTGTGGGCTGGCCAACAAGAAGCGCCAACCCCGACCTCCACCCCGTTAAGCATCCAGCTGATCTGAAAACACAGGCTGAGATGATAGATATTGAGGAGAAATGCAATTCGATGCTTGTGGTGTTTGGTGTTTCACTGACTTTGCAGGTCTAGGGCCAGTGGTCTGATCATCTAGTGAGAGGATAACTAAACACAGTGGCATCTATGGGGGATCTTCTTCTGAAGGTGATAGCCATTGTTAACTCCCTATTATCTTTTTTTGAAGCCCTGTACAATTTTTATTGTTTTGTTAAGTTGGATTTTATTCTATTTTGTTTTGTTTGCTTGTGTTATATCCAATGGCATGGACAGCTATTTTTCAAAGATAGCAAGATATATTATGGTAGCAATTTTGGATTTACTATTGTGTTGTTTTGAAGTCCTTTACTGCATTCATTGTTTTGTTTTTATTGGTTCTATTCTGTTCTGTTTTGCTTGATTTTTACTATGTCTGAAGGTATCTACACCTATTTTGAAGACAACAAGGGGCATTATGATAACCATTGTTGATTTCCTATTGTTTTGAAGTCCTGTATCTGTTACACTGGTTTGTTTTAACTTTATTGTTTTATTTTGCTTAGTTTTATTCTCTTTAAAATGAAAAAGAAACGGAAGTACACTATATTTTTTTTCCAGACTTCTAGGAGAATTAAAGTCAAAGAAAGTTTTTACAGTGGGATCTTGGGACTAGGAATATAGAAGTGTGTGTAGCTCAGTGATAGATCTCATGTCTAAAATGTGTGAGACCCTGGGTTTGATCACAGCCCTGGGGAAAACACACACACACACACACACACACACACACACACACACACACAGAGTAGGATGCTAGCCAGAGTCATGCAGTTATGAGAAACAGGCATCCTCATATTTGGTGGGTGGGATGGTAAATTGGAAAACATCCATCAAAATGTTAAGTGCACCAAACCACCATCTCCACTTATAGGGATTTACCTCATTAACACATCTATCCAAGTGTGCAATGTGTGTACGCACAGTCTTCTTGTCTAAGAGAGTAAAACACTTGGAAACTCCTCCAGGCACCCTCATGGGGACAGGCTGAATATATAATGGCTCACCCACCATACAACACCGTACAAGCCACATTTTTTTTTATCTTTTTATCGGTACCGGGGATCAAACTCATGACCACCTGCTTGCAAGGCAGGTGCTTATGCCGCTGAGCTAAATCCCCAGCCCCTGTACAAGCCACCTTTAACATCAGTCCTTGCAGGTGGTCCTTGCAGGCAGACGGAGAATATGCCAACACCTTATCACTAAGTGAAAAAAGCACACACAAAATATTGTAGAATATAATGCAACCCTATTCGTGGGGGCATGTGCTTATAATCACATGTAAAGTTTCTGTACGAATTCACAGGAAACTGTTAACAAAAGTGTCCTACAAAAGGTGACACTGGAAGAAGATACTTTATTTCAGTTTTAAATTTCTACTATACTTACACATCTTTATCACAAGCTATAAGAAAGACGAATTCTCCATGTGGCTCCTTGTTGGAGTAATCATGCAGTTTTATGGCTCTGTCTCTGTTTCCCATTAAATAACCTCTACTCTGAATCACTCCTAGATACTGGGCTTTTTATTTTCTGGTAATGTGCAAGAGCTCCCGACTAGTCTCCTCCCTTCTTCCCCTCTCCCTCACCGCCTTCCTACCGCCCTGTGGCCAGAGTGACTCTGGCAAAGTGTAAGTCTGACCACAGTGAGTCCTTCCAAAGGCTTCTGTCTCAGAATGGCACTGAGAGCTCTGCCAGCAGCCCAGAGGCCCGTGCAACCGGCCCTCGCCGCCTCTGCCTTTGCTCCCTCCCGCCCTCCACACTGCTCACTGCGCTCTAGGCTCTTTGAGGGTCTCCAAACCCACAAACCACAGCCTCCTCAAGACTTCACTCCCCCTGTGTGGACTGTTTTTCCCCCCACAGCATTTCCTTTGCTCAGGACATTCTTTTTCTTCTCTCAACAGGAGAAGCAGTGAGCTCATCCTGTTGCACAAATGAGATCAGCCAAAGGGCCAGGCTGTGCTGCCGTGTCCCCACACTGCTCAGGGCCAGTGAGTTGGGACCGTGTGTGCACTGCTGTCACCCACCCTTCCAGTTTTCCAGAGAGGTTTGGCCCAGGTCACACCGATTCCCTTCCTACCTCTCGCTCTGATTCTTTCCAGAGATCTCTGTCTCCACAGTGCCACCATCATCCACCATGTTGCTTTAGCTGGGGATTTTCATGCCTTTGACTTCCCCTCTGCCAATCCCCAGTGTGACCCTGCTGTCCTGCCCAGGATTGTGGCCATTTCCCCATGTGCCTCGTCTTGCCCACAGCCTTCCAGAGCCGGCTTCCACCTGGCGGTTCCTGCCCTGCCACTGCCTCCCTGTGCTGATGCCTGACTGCCCAGCCTGTGGGTGCTTCACCCGCCCCTAGGTACCCCCTGCACGAGTCCCTGTGCTCCTGAGAACCTCAGCAGGGGACAGCTGCCTAACCCTCGTGTTGCATGCAAATGATAAGGGAGAAGGGACCGAACTATCCTTCCCAGGAGAAGGGCTGGGCTTGATAGCGCTTACAAGAGAAGATCATGGTGGAAAGAAGTCAATAAAGGTCTATTTCTTACTGCACTCTCATCCTCATCCTGCCTGAAGGAAAAAGTAAAGGGAAATGACAGTAACAGTAAAACAAAAGCTTATATTGATGAAGGACTTCATTTCCATCAGACACTTCTGTAAATTCTTTACCTATGTTATCACAATCAGTTCTCATGAGGATGATGAAGTAAATGCCATTATTTCCCCATTTTAGAGATGAGAAAACTCAAGGACAGAAATTCTGAAACACTGAAAGTCACACAGCTGGTACAGAATTGACCCAGAATACAGGCCTGGACTGAAATTCCCTCTGCTTCACCCCCCACACACACACACACACAGCTTCCCCTGCACACAGGCATTTCTGCCTCCCCCTCGGCACAACGACCATCATCCTGAGGTTCGCACAGCTCCTTTGCTGGTCACAGTTTCTCTTCTCTATTCACGCTCTGATTTACGGGTCTGATGTCTACTAATTTGCAGCCATATTAATTTCCCTATAGAGTGCGTTGGTTCAGTATTTTTACTGAAATCTGTTTCCTATCTGCTAAAGATAGTTTTTGCCAGTGGAACATACCAACTTTCATGCCATTTGTCAGACTGGAATTGGAACCATAATCAAACAGCAAAATCCAAATGTTTTTGAGGAAAAATCCATTTTTCTCAGCATATTTGTCTTAAGAAATTCAAAAAGTAGGTTAAACATGGAAAAAATAAATTATTGCACAGCAACAATGAATCAAGATATTATACAAATAAACCTACCTTATGAGACGATTGAAAAAGTATCTGAATATGACCTGAAGGGTTATTCTTTTGTCTGAATTCTGATGCATCTTTAGAAATGACCTTGCACTTAACCAACCACTAAGAAAGAAAAAAGAATTAGTAATAAGAATTAGTGAACTATAGTTCACTACCTAATCGATTAGGTTGTCTCAATCAGGACAGACTGAGTGATGCTATAGTAATAAAACATCTCTAAATCTTATAGCAACAAGCTGTCCTCCCTCCCTGTCCCACCCCCCATCCCTCTCTTTCTCATTTCTTACTCATGTAACATACTCATGGCCAGTTGCTTGGTATCTTCTTCCCTATGGGATCTTCATTGATGGAGCAACCTTATCCAAAAGGCCATCAGTGACCACAGCAAAGGACAAGAACATTCTGGAGAGTCTCAACCCAACAATTCAGTACTGCAGCCTGACAGTGACATCCTCACAGCTCTTAGAATAAGGGTTTAAAGAATTTTGCACAATTGCAATTTGAGGTACTTGCCGGTCAGAACTAGTAACACAGCCAGGAAAATGAGATTTTGTTGAGTTCCTAGAGGGTGGTAGGCAGACATCTCTGGCCAACAATGCAGGAAAATAAGACTTGGAGATTATTCAATGGGCTTCCCAAGATTATAGTCAGATTTCTTAACCAGCACACTCTGATGATGGCACATGCATGACCCAGAATGCTCAGTGCAGCCTTTGCACTGTAACTTGGAGGTAAGCCTATCTGTGAGTTACCCAACTTTTCGACATTTATCCCAGTCAGCTTTGTGGGTGTTTCTCCAAGGAGTGAACGTGTTTCCCACTGCAACACAGGGCCGCGTGTGTTGGGCCTGACTTGACAGGATTCTGGAGGTTTGGAGAATGTCTCTATTGTCTGCCTGTTAAATTTTCTTTTGAAAAGCAGCAAGCTGAAGTCATTGAAATAGGAACAAAATTTATAGATATCTAAAAGAGACTGCCGAGAGGTGAAATAGAGCAGCCAGTTCTGTTTCCGGCCTCTCTTTGTTTCAGGAAAGGATGAATCAGGGCTGGCCTGTTTTTTCTGCATGACTGGTACCTCTTCTCCCTACCGCCTGGTTGCTAAGCAAAACCTGAGTCCCACTCTGTGTGGGAGTGTACACTGCCCAGCCAGCTCGTTAGAAGAAGGCCTGAGAAAGCCGTGGGAAACAGGTAATGAGCAAGATAGCTGGTTACAAGGGCCGACAGCCCACTGTCCTGAAGAGACAGCCATGCAGTGGAGAGGTATGAAGCCAGCCTCAGAGAGAGGGGAGATTTCCAAAACAGTCACCACCAATTTTGTCTTTTTTTTTGCCTTTTTGAGACTCGAGCTCACTTTGTAGCCCTGGCTGGTCTCAAACTTGCAACAATCCTCCTGTCTCAGCCTCCTGCACACTGGGATTACAGGCATGCACCACCATGTCCAACATCACCAGTTCTTCTTAAAGATCTACAGAAGTCTTTGGTCTCATCAGGCATGATGGTACATGCCTGTAATCCCAGCTACTCAGGAGGCTGAGGCAGAAAGATTACAAGTTCAAAGCTAACCTCGACAACTTAGCAAGACTGTGTCTGAAAATAAATAAAAAGAGCTAGAGATGAACCTCATTGGTAGAGCATTTACCTACCATGCATGAGGCAAAAGTTCAATCCTCAGTACTGTAAGGAAAGAAGTCTTTGATCCCACCTTGTAAGATGAGTGACATCCTGATTAAGAAATGGTTTCCTTGTAAAACAAACTATAGGTCGAATATCCTTTCTCTGAAATTCTTGTTTTTAGATTTTGGGCTATATATACATCCATAGTGAGATATCTGGTTAGTTTAAACACAAAATTCACATTATCTCGTCCACATAGGCTAAGGGTAATTGTATACAGTACTTTTGATGTTCCTGCATTTTGTCTGTGACCTATCACATGAGACTGGGAGTGGAGTTTTTGTTTGTGGTGTCATATTGGTGCGCAAGTTTTTGGATTTTGGATGAGGGATGCCCAACCTGTCTTCTTAAATTCCGGTTTTAACCTTAATAGCTGTGTACGTAGACTTGACAAACTCTTTCATCTCTGACCATTGAATTTCTCATCTGCAAAAGTAGAATGACATTGTTCCACTGTTCAAAAGAAATTTTTAGATAAAAGAATATGGGTACCTTCTAAAGTAATAAAATAAAAACTAAAGGAAAAAGAGTCACAGAGAGCAGTATGAGAAGTGGAAACCAAAAGAGAGAAAGAAGAAAGCAGTGTCTTTCTCTTTTTGTTTTTTATCAGTACCGGGGATCAAACTCACAACCACACACTTGCAAGGCAGGCACTTATGCCACTGAGTTAAATCCCCAGCTCCAAAAGCAGTGTCTTTCTCTACCTCTAAACTGACATCAGCATCTGCCTGCTACCCCTGTCTATACCATCTTCAGCTCCTCCCACCTGAGTTCACATGATGCTTCTCAGACCTTAGTGGGCATCAAGATTATCTAGGGGGCTTGAGACAGCCCAGATTTCTGGTCCCGCCTGCAGAGTCTGACTCAGTGGGAAGCAGGTATCTGGGAATGTGCATTGCTAATGCACTTCCCTGTGGGTACAGAAGTGAGCACCACTGATGAAAGGCACAGCACTCCCTGGCCCACCCAGTCCTGGTGAGAGCGATGTAGTCTCCAAGCATTTGCAGTATTCCTGGATGTTTGGTATTTTAGCAACCTTCACCTGTGTTTTACGTATCTCGGTGCTGTCCAGTGGCTCCTCTGCCACTGGATCTCAGACTCCCAGTATAACGCAAGGATGAGCAGTGGCTTTTCCTTCCCTTCATCTTTCCCTATTCCTGGCAGCTTTCCTAATCTCCAGGCTGAGTTTGGGGTTTGGTTCCAGTCATTCTGATTTGTCCTTTCTAGCCTCCTTCCCAGGACTTGGAAGTCTTCCAAGCAGATCCATCCCAGCATATGACATCTTTTTTTAACCTGGTTTCGCCAGGGCCCTTCACAGGAAACAGGGTTCTGATCTCTTTTGTCTCATGGGCAGAGCTCCCCACCCTCCAAGGACCCTGTATCTGCTCCAATACCAGCCCAGAGAGATCCAGCTGTGTCCTCTTGGAAACCTGTCCCCATTAGGTATCACTGCTGGGACTGCTGCACAGTGCACTGACCCTTGCCTATCTGGACTGCTCTCTTTTATCACTTTGGCCACCTCCTAGCAGGAGCTGCTGCCCTTACGGGCAGGGCCCAGCTCATTCTATACTCCTCTTGTTCAATATTGTAAGAAACTATCACACCAGAATCCTGAGATAAAGCATGAAGAAATCATCCATTCTGACAACAGTGTATTGAGCGGTGCTTTTTGGATTACTCTATGGAACACTGCGTTAGGTCACTGCACTGCACTGCAGTACACAGAACAGAAACATTCTTTACATTCTGGTAGAGATGGTAGATGAAAGGACAATCAATCAAACAAAAGTGGCATCTACAGCATGGTAGATTAAAAAAAGTAAATAAATCAAGAAAAAAATGAGACAAAGAATGCTAGGGGGGTTCATTTTGCAGTGGTGGGGGCAGAAATGCCTGGCTGTGAAGGTGACATTTGAGAAAAACCTGAAGAGGGTGTGAGGCAGAGGGGTGTTAGGGAAGTAGGGACTGCAGAAGGTAGGTGGGATTAGGGACCCCTTTCTATTGCTTGGCCCAGTTTGGGAGCTAGTTCTGTCCTAACTTGCTGGTTCAGACACTTTGGAATTTCATGGCCTTGTATCCACTTTTTTACATACTCAACTCCCAGAACTAGCACAACAGAAGAGAACACAGTAACCTTATTACCTGATCAGGAAAAAGGTATCAACCCCAAGATAGAATGGGCCACTCCGAGAATAAAGGTACAGTGGGTTTTTAGGCACCCTGGTTTTCCATTCAAGCACATTATCTGTAACAAACATGAAAATATTTTTAATTTGATTAATAGACGAAAATCATGTGATCTCTTTTTGCAGAAGGGAGGGCTTTGCATTGAGAGGGCTTTAGGAATCACAGTCATTCACTTAATAGAGAATTTATGTTGAGAATAAATATTCTTTATTCTCTGTGGTGACAGAGGCTGCTAACTGCCACCCCAACCTCAAGCTCCTTCTGTTGTCATGGTGGATGCAGCCCCCATGGATAGGTGCATATCCCCTAGAAGGCTGCTTCAAGCTGCCCTACACTGGCCCTCCTCTTGTTCTGCTCACTCATGGTCCTTTGGTGAAAGAGTGCCATGGTCATAGATGGGGAGGGTCAAGAGTGTGCAACAGGAAGAAAAGTTGATTTACTACTTGCCTGTTTTGCAGATAGGAAAAAACATTACTTCCAAGCTTCACTAGTCAGGACAAGAGGGAACACAAGTCTCTGGCTAGTGAGTGTACAATGCTCAGGAATCACTCTGCGCCAACTTTATGTCTAGGAGGAGCCTAGATTCTAAAATATAAGGAAGCTGTTCCCAGGAAAGTTGTCAGCCTCCTATCCCAAGCCCAAGATGGTCTGCACGCTGAGGGGTCTCTCCTTCCCAGTGGTGCCCAGAGTGAAGGGATGCCAGTCCCCGCACCCAAAGAGAACCATGCTGTCATCTGGCTGGTGTGTCCTGAGATGATCCAGAGAAGGCTCAAGACCCGGATGCCGTTCAGTGCAGGGCAGGTGTCTCCTGGCATCTTTGCAGTCCAGATGGCCGACACATTCCTCTGCCAAGAAAAACACTGCAGAACGTGATCCATGGCTCCTAGAAAACCTGGGCAAGAGCAGAGGCGTTACATCCACTTCGAAGGCCAGCGAGCCACCTACCACCCCAAAACAAGAGTGGAAATGCCTACAGAGAGAACCTGACACCTAAATCTCCCCCTCCAAACCTGACTGATTGACTCAGATATTCATGGTCTTCACTTGACCAGCTCGAGGGCTGTTGTACTTAATCTCCTTCTACTTTGAACCTTAACTTTCCATAACAGACGAGCTGAGCTTGGTGCCCCACAATGCCTTGTGCAGAATGTGCTGCCCAAGCTCAGCTCCCCAGATGCCAACCTTGACCACTACTTAGAGCTGCTTTCTGAAAGGCTTTGGGAAGGAGAATAAAGACTTAAGTCAGAAGTCACATGTTATGGCTTGTGTCTAGATGTCCTCCCAAAGCCTCATGCATTCATAAGTGGGGTTTTTAAAAGTGGTTTGATCTAACAAGTATACTGCTAGAATTAAGAGTGTGTGATTAATAAATCAGTCCACTGGTTTGGCACTGCCCTAATCCAGTAGCCTGGATGGAGCACAAAAGAGTTGGAAAGAAGCTGCTAAGGTCCTTGCTTGCCCTTGCCTGCCTGCTTGTTGTAGACTATTTCTCCTCTGCAATGTCACCCTGCCTTGGAGCCAGCTGACTATGAACTGAAACCTCTACAAACTGTAAGCCAAATCAACCTTTCCTCCTTTAACTTTGAGTGTCTGGTATTTTGCCTCAACAAAGAGACAATGCTGATCCATAGAGCTAGCATTTCACTGAAAATAGCATCCAGGGTTCTCCCAAGGACTCTCCCACTTTACAAATATCTCCAACATTGGCCAGGGCACATGCACAAAAACAGGAGGGGAAGTCAATGTGTAAAGTATTCAGGAGGCTGAAGCAGTTTGAGGCCAGCCTGCACTATACAATGAATTCAAGACTAGCCTGAACTACACAGCAAGAGCTTATCTAAAAAAAAAAAAAAAAAACAGGAAAAAATTCACCTGGTAACTAAAGTACAGGCTTTAGAATTACTTCGTGCTCTGAATCTGCCTTTCATTAGCTCTGTGACCTTTGGCAAGTGAATTAAATTCTCTGTTCCAGAGTGTCTGCATCCACAAAATAGGAATCACTTTTTTTTTCTTCATTTTTATCGGTACCAGGGATCGAACTCACGACTGCCTGCTTCCAAGGCAGGCACTTATGCCGCTGAGCTAAATCCCCAGCCCCAGGAATCACTTTTATAATCACAAGACTATCATGAAGGAGAGATGAGCAAGGCATGTATATCATTCTGAAAAGACACAACCCAGAGTTAGCAGTCACAGGGCCTTACCTTCCATTAGTGCCATTTCAACCCTTACTATTTTAAGAATGTTTAATCCTTCCTCCTTGTTTGGTCTACTTTATTTTATTTAAATTTAACTTGATCTGTCCCAAGAGCCAATAGAGTGGCTGGAATTTTTGAACAGAAGCCTCTGAAGCTCAAGGAGACTTTGAGAGGCTTGTATATTCTCCTGAACAGAGTTCAAGAGCTAAAAGCTTTAAACACTATAGACATCCATGTGTCCTTGCAGAATTAAAATGTATTCACATATGAGAGCCGATTGAAAGCCAAATTCTGGAAATCCAAATCAATTTCTTAAATGGAAGGATTTAATCACCTAGCGCTTTAGGTTCTGGCAGTGATTCTGAACTTTCCATTTAGGTCACTCCCTGTGAAGGCGCCTCTGTCCTGAGCTCTAGTATTTGCCCTTTCACTTAGAAAAAGCACCAGGACTTTGCACTTTGAAAAGCCGCAGGAATGAATGCCACACAGACAGCAGTCCTGCACTTCATGTCACCTGAATTTTCCATTTCCTGAGAAGTTCCATGCACTCATGGAAATACATACGACTGTACCTCGGCCAGATTCAGCCAAGCTCCTTGACCTCCCTGAGCTCAGTTCTATCACTTTTAGGATGGACATAAGTTTTGGCAGGGTTGTTGTGAAGAATGGCATTAAATGTCCAGCTCAAGCCCAGCATCGGCAATTCTACCAGTGGATAAATATAAGCAATAACGGTTTATAAATTGTCTGAAAATAACTGATCTATAGAAAAGATGGTCTTTCTGAGTCCCATCTGGATCATGTGTAAATGGAAAGTATTGTAAACTGTAAGGGAGGACTACAGAAAGTGCTGACTGAAATAGCATATTAGCATCACAGAAAACTTGTAGGAAATGCTCATTCCAGGCTGCAGCACACTTTTAGGTCAGAATCTTCGGGGCTGGGCCCAGAGATCTGTGCCGTTTAATGCCTACCCAGGATTCTGATACATGCCAAAGCTTGGGATCTGCTGGGTGTGAAAGTTCTTTTTTAAAAAACCTGGTAGCCATCACAGTGAGCCCACTTTAAGCCATGGCCCATGAAGTAAAAAGCCTGGCTTCCAGCAGCTGAAATGCATAGCTATTAATTTCACGGAAACATCCTCATAGCTTGCTTGCTCCCTCATGTCTGACTCATCAAACAGCAAAAGAAAGGCACATGTAACAGGAAACCATTCAAAGTAAATGTAATGGTTATTTGGAGGATAAAGAACCAGGAATCCCAAATTCCCAATTCGGCTCTAAACTGCCGCAAGACACGGTGGTCTTAGGTTGATTTGACTTGCTGCTGACTGTAAAGTGGAGAGGAAATTGCTGAACCTCGGCAAGTGAGTTTCTAACAACTTGCTTTAGAACAGAACACAGAGGACTCCCCACTGCACCCCCAATTCTGAGGCCACAGTTAGACGTAACTAATGGAAAAGCAAATGTGCCTCAGTGATCTGACCATAGGACTTCAGTCTGGGTGAGAGACCTGAGTGTCTGCGGAGCATGAGTGACACCCTGCCCGGTGTGAGCTCCAAGCCCTGTGATCTGGTCTCCAATTAAGCCTAGCACTGAAGAAAGCAGTGGGAACAGCTCCCTGTCAGCCTGACAGTTAGCAGCCCCTGAGTCCTGCTGACCCTGCTGCCTATGCAAGGAGCTCTGTAGCCCATGCAAGAAGTCTTAGCAGATGAAAGGCCCACTTTCCTGCCTAAACCGAAGAGAATGAGAAAAGAGGGATGAACCCAGGAGGATGTGAGTCCACATTGTCTCATTTGATGCCTTCCACAAACCCCTTTTGGTGCCTCTGTTGTATACTTGTGTAAATCGGGGCCCACAAAGTATAAGGTCAAACAATTTGATCAAAGTCAGTCCAGCAATGAGGCAGGTCGGACTAGAGATTGTTAGGCATGTGTCCCACAGTGTCACCACAGACCTGTCTACAGGGCAGCCAGGGCAGAGCAAGGTCACTGAAGACAAGGCCACCGTAGGTGTCCTCTACCTCTGCTAATTTTACCAAAAATTCAAAGAGGAACTAAAAAACTATTTGTCTTGCCTTTGTGTTAGTCCTGTCCCTGAACCCACCTTATTTCATTTTCATATTCTTTCGGTTCACTCACTGAAAAATTTGTCTTTGGTTTTCAATCTCCTTCATTGGAATGAGGAAGGACAATAGTGTAGCCCTAAAGGGGATGCGCCAGTAATTATTCCACATGTTCTAAAGGTATTTGCACGGCCAGGCAATTCTCATGTAAGGCATATGTGTTTATGTGTGTGTGTCCTATTTATGTGTGTACATGTGTATGTATATATACACCTACGTATATGTGCAAGTGTACATATTTATATATACACTCTTCACTGCCGTGTAGACAATGCGAACAAAGACAATGCTTTTGATGTTTTCTGAAACCCAACACAGTGGAACCCATTGAATCTAGGCTCTCACTACATAGTTATCTCTTTCTGGCTCAGCTATATTCATTAATTTGTGTTGCACACCCTCAAACCCCCACTAGTTTATATGCAAAGCATTTACCTTAGCGGTGTTAAAAGCTTCTCTGAGGTTTCAGTATCTATGACACTGAAAATAGATGTTGCACTCATGGAATCGTTCACGAGGGAATTACTACAGTGAGCCCCTGAGCTCTGATCTGACCTCGTTTTTGATAGCAAAAACACACACTGGAGAATTGTGCCCAAGAAATAAAGGAGCACTTTTGGTGGCCTTGCCTTGCCTGACCACTCCGACAGTCAACAAAGGCTGAATTGTAAGGAGCAGAGATCCAACCTCCCCACTGACATTTAGAAGCTGCTCCACGCTCACTAGAACCCAGCACTGTTGGAATTATTTTCCAGCCACACGTTCATCTAAGGCACCTCTCTTGGGTGGTCCTGCTGCAATGAAACGCTTACTTTTTCCTCTGCTCGCAGATCCGGCCAGGGAGAGAGAAGCCTGGCAAGCTGGCCCACACGCCCTGCTTCTGGGCCCATCGCTCTCCAGCTGTCTCAGAGGCAGGCTCCCGTAACTGATGCAGGGGGCACTGCCTGCTGCAGGCGAGGTCCTGAGGGCCCGGGCAGCCATGCAGACTGTTCCAGCAAGGGGGAGAGCAAGACCCAGCAAGGTGATGAACCTGTGTGAGAAGACACATAGCCACGCTTTCCTCACATTGCCACCAAAATAAAATGTAGAGAAAGCAGGTCCACACAAAGCAAAACTGGTGACTTTACTAGGTAGGAGTGGGGGGCTCTGGGCATTGAACCCAGGACCTTCGCACTAGCTAGCTACATCAGCCCTTTTTATTTTATTTTACTTTTTATCTTGAGACAGATTTTTGTTAAGTTGCTCAAGCTGGGTTTGAACTTGTGATTCTTCTGTCTCAGCAACCCTGCCTGGCTACCACTGACTACTTATATGGTAAATATTTAGCGATTTTAATAGAGCAAAATGACATTTTAAGAACAAAAACAATTGTAAAATTCACACAGGAAAATATGAGTGAATTTCAAGTAACTCCTTAATGCCAAGGGCGCAGTAATGACTGAAAATTAATATAGTTTTTAAAAATTAATTAGGAAAAAAAGGGCCTGTGATGTAGCTCAGTGGCAAAACGCCTACCTGGCAAGTGCAAGGTCCTGAGTTCAATCCCTAGTACTCCCAAAAAAACATCAGTGAGGACCCAGTTAACATACTTGGGAAAGTGGGTGAAAAATGTAAAAGTTAATTCACAGCAGAAAAACACAAGTGACAGATAAACCTAGAGAAAAACTCTCCTTGCCAGCTTTTCTAAAAACGTAATTTAAACCAACATATTCACCTAGCAACTTAGTGCCAGTTTTATAACAGCGGCCTTGATACTGATGAGAAGATGACTTAGCCCATGTGACTTTTCCTGCAGTAGGAATGAATTGTTCAGGAAAACATCAAATGATTCCACTGTTACGAGCCGGCAATTCTAGTCTAGCAAACGTGTCCTAAGGAGTGGTCCAAAATGCGAACAAAAAGCAAAGGGCAAGATTGTAAAGTGGGAGAGGCATTTGTCTCCTGCAAAGGAATTTATCTTTGATGCTGTCACATGGCGGCGAGGCCGAGGCGTGTATCTCAGTGGTGCTGACACCGCGTGCTTGGGTGTGGTCAGCTCCCCATGGGACACTTCCAGGTTTTTTTAAGGTCCAGAGTGACCTCCCTGTGTCTTAGTGGCCTCAAGCTCCTGCACACAGTGCCATAGGCCAAGTGACTTGTGAACAATAAAACTTGATTTATTTTTTTTTTTTTTGTCTTTTTCCTTTTTATCAGTACCAGGGATCAAACTCAAGACTGCCTGCTTGCAAGGCAGGTGCTTATGCCGCTGAGCTAAATCCCCAGCCCCTAAAACTTGATTTTTAAATGTTTCAGAGGTCGGAAGGTCCAGGATCAAAGCCCCAGAAGACACAGGGGCTGGTAAGGGCTGGCTTCCTGATTCCTGGCACCCCCTCACTGATGTCACATCGTGGAGTGGGCTGAGGAGGTCTCTGGGAAATCTTTTATACAAGCACTGATTCCATTCTTGAGGGATCTTATCACCCCGAAGGACACCACCTCCCAGTTCGGAATAAGAGGGGCCTAAGTGTCAATGCAGGCATTTGAGGATCCTCAGATTTTCAGACCATAATGCACAGCAAGAAGCATCAGCGGCCTGGTATTGTTTGGCAAATAAAACAAAATGGCCAAGTGTGGTTGCCAAGGAGAAGACGATAAAGAAGAAACAGCCGAGATCCTAGCTGAGCGCCTCAGATGGTCATACTCACAGACACACGGCAGTGACAGTGTCCAGAGGGAACGTTCCAGCAGCGCATCTGGCCACACTCCCACCAGCCAAGGAGGAAGAATTCGGCACAAAGAAGGAGAGGGAGGGGGCTGAGAATGAAGCATTTCTAAATCTTAAAATATCTACCAAGAGAAAAAGAAGCTGTGTTAATATTTTAGTTTCTAATAATGCTTGACACTTTCCCAAATGTTTTCCTTTTATTTCAAATACAACTTTGACATCAAAAAGATAAGCTGGCCTTTAACGTACAGTCAGCCCAGGCTGGGGATTCTGCTCAGCAGCATAGCACCTGCCTGCAAGTGTGAGTTTGTGAGTCTGATTCCTGGTACAAAAATTTATATATATAATCTCTATGACTCAATTTCCCTCCACCGTGATAAAGTTTGGAGAATAATAGTACCTATCTCATGGGATTGGTGTGGAATTAAGTGATGAAATCATTGTAAAGCATATAGAACAAAGCCTGGCATATAGTAAGAGCTTAATAAACATTGGTATTGTTGCCTCATCGGCTACTCCATAATGGTGAGCCTTAGATCCAAGAGGCTGCGGTCAGTTTCTATGGTCAGCTGCTGTGGGACCTGAGCAAGTCATTCACCTCTCTAGGTCTCACTTCTTCTTCCATGTAGCAAGGAGGGGTGGGCTGGGCACAGTAAAATAATGCCTCTTTCACGGCCAACACTCACTCTCCCCTGTGTCTGTGGTTTGAGGGTTTCCAAATTGTCCAAATAGGCTGCTAAAAGATTAATACTGTGCAATTAATTTTGATTCTTAATTGTAACATATCAAGGGTAGAAACAAGGGAGAGAAAGCATCTGTGTGTCACCAGCCATAGCCAAAAGCACAGTGCTTGACTTAGTTTCCCACCAGGTCCCCCCAGGGATCTGATGGCAGAATTTATTACTCAGTTCCGTTGGCTTTCACATGATGCCCCTGGAGCTCCGTCTTGTTTATATGTGAGTCTCCCAAATCAACTCCTTCCTGAAGTGAAGTGTACTGAGCCACACCACATGTCTGTTCTCCTGAGAATTTCTATTTCTAGTTTTAAAGGAATCAACTCCGAAAGTTTTTTCCTCGCTCCCTTTCCTTCCCCTCTCCTCCCCTTTCCTATTCTTTCCTTCTCTTCTCTTGAACCAAGCACTCCCCAACTTCCAGGCAACGTGCATCAGGCCTCTGGAGCCAGCTGCCAGGTAGGACTGGGTGGCTCCCTCCTGGGTCTGCAGGGCTGGGCCCAGCTCCACCACCTGGTGAACTCAGCTGTGTAGATCCTGCTCTGCAGGGCTACAGCAGCCTGCACCTTTGCTGTCATCTTTTAACTGAACAGCAGGCATTGGAGGCCACGGGGAAATCCAACACCAACATGAAAAAACTTTGTAGCACAAAAGGAGTTTTTGAAAAATTTATCTCTGGGTCTTACGTGCAACAAAAAGAAGAGACAACAAACAGGGAATAAAATGAAAACATATATGTCTGGGACCCCAGATTAAATTCCCTTCACCTTTCTTCATTTTTAAAAGTATCTTTTGGCTACATCTGACTCCTCCCTGCCTATACAGCCCAGACTTACTGGCACCTTGAAAATGCACCCTGGCTGTCTTCCCAGACAGTCTCGGAGTCTAAATCCAGGAGCTGCACTCACAGGCACTGCGGCTAAAGGTAAAGTGAGTCACAGTGGCTAACACAGAGCCCTGTGTCTCTCTGCTGCACAGCGAGCTGCTTGTGGAGGAAACTGAGGGACAAGGAGACCCAGGACCCGATCACCAAGGTGGATAAATCTGAAGCTGACAACTTCTTCCTACTGATACCCTATTGTTGTAAAGATGCTTAGACTGATTTCCCACAGCACGACGTCAGCGTTGTCCAGCTCTGCAACCACAGCCACCTTGCAGGCAGCAGTGACTTAGAAACCTGCACACTGCTGTGACCCTCCATAAGAAGGATGCTGACAGTTTTAAGAGAACCGTGTGTGCATATATGCTTCTGCATGTGTCTGTATGAATACACAGATGTAAGTATGTATCTGCGCATGTGTGCACAAGTATGTAACTGGGTGTATGCATCTGTATATGTCTATGTGTGTGTATGTTTCTATTTATAAACATATTCCTGCCTGTGTATATATGCAGGTCCTTTACCTCCTCAGTTCTGGGGCAAAAGTGCAAGGAAGGTTTCAGTGAGACTCACCCACCAGCTTCTGGCCATCTTTTCCCTTTTCAGCTGTTCCTGCATCTTCAGGGGCATTAAAGGCCTGAGTGTGAACAATCTCAGTCCTACCTCCCACCTCATCTCCAGCCGTCACTCCTTAGTGTATGTACCTGGGCAGGAAGCCTTAAGGTCCTCCAAACTCAGACCATGGGCTAGAAGAGAAGGAGCGGGCTCTGAATAGCTATGTCCCCTTGGTGCTGCAAACATCAATCCATGGAGACAACCTCGCCAAGAAGCCCTTTCCTAAAGGAAGCAACCCAGACTGGACTCTCCCAGCCTTGGTCCAGGTATGGCCCTGTGGTGCCACTCCCCCATTCCTCTGAAACATGCACCAAGCCTCATTTTGACTGTGTGACCCCACAGAGCCTAAGGGTTGGGGTGGAGGGAAAGATAATGGGTAGTGTCAACCAACCCAGAGTCTCCAAAGCTACTTACTAGGAGCTGTACAGAGATTCAGCAAATCACTGTTGTCCACAGAGGCCACCCTGGGGCTGGCTACCTGACCCAGATTCTCAGAATGAGGCTGCCATAATGGTATGGATTGTCTACGCCTGCCCAGCCTTGTCCAATAGCTGAGTCAGTCAGTCTCTGCAGGGCTCCAGAGACGGATGCTCCCAGCAACACTGCAGACACGCACCACACCCAGCTCTAAATTCTTCCACTGTCGTCAACAAAACCAATCTGAAGCTCACATCTGTTCAATCAGCCTTATATGTCTGCACTGCACCAAGTTCCAGGTCTACACAGGGAAATAAGAAGCCTTTATTAGAAATCTTTATTTGATCTGTTTCCCACCAACTTCTTATCCTACTCAGTCCACATTCCCCTCAAACAAGGCCAGCTCAAGCCTCTCAGTAAGCCACAACTTCTCTCCAAACCCCTCAGATTATACCAGGGGTGATCAAGCAATATAGTGTCAGATCTGTAATACATTTTTTAAAATTCAAACACTCACTGTTGCTGGCGATATAGCTCAGCAGCACAGCACCTGCCTGGCGAGTTGAGGTCCTAAGTTTCATTCCTAATTTTAAAAAGAGAAAGGAACACCCACTGTATATTTTGTTCACTTCTCTCTAGTGCTCAACCTGAGATCAAACATTTATTTTCTGATCATTTCTTCTAGTAACTCAGGCTCACATACTTTCTCTACTACCTTATAGGTTTCCCAAAATTAGTAATGCCCAATTGTTTTGGGTCTCCTAGCATCAACATCATGTCTCATACAAAGCCCTGATATAAAAATGCACAGTAAATACTGTCTGAATTAAACTAAAAATAGGTGATGTTCTGTGAACTGTTTTGTGTTCCTTTTGAATCATTACCAAGAAAAGCACTTCTTTGGGTAATTCAAGGAGTTGCTATTAAACAACTCTAGTTTTTCAGGCAATAACAGGGAATCCATAATACAGAGAGCCTTGAGGAAAACCACCCTTTGCAATCCACCACCATTGTCCCACTAACAGGCTGGTAATTCTGATTATAATAGGTGAAGAGAGGTGAAGTCAGCCCAATAGAGAGCAGGCAAGAGGACAGAGTAATGATCATTATAAAGGACTGTTAAACATGGACCCTGAGCAGCTCAGAATTCAATGCTTTTGGTTACTGCAAAATGGAATGATCATACAATGTACCACAAACTGGTTGTGGGCGCCCTGGGAAATAAATAAAACAAGTGATGCTAAAATGCATGGATCTAAATTTTTAAGGAAATAGCCTCAATTTGGATTTCACAACTGTCTTATCAAAGGTTGATCTAAACTTTCCCCAACCTGGAGTTACATGTTTTTATTTTGGGAGATTCCCATAAAGTCTGCTGTGAGTCCCCTCTGTAATATCTGTAACAATCCCTGTATACCACTTTGCTTTAGTCTCTGGCCACAAGCGGTTTGTTCCACTTTTCCATGGTCTTTCCCGCTCCAACACTGCAATCATCTTCTTTTGACCTATTATGAGTGCTTCAGCTCTGGCTGGCTCTGAGCAACATCTGTGCCAAAAGCAGCCACCTGGCATTGCTGATCTGGTCATCCTCACATCTGTAGAGGAAATACTGGCAACTCTGTCAAAAAGCTTTAAGAAATAGCTGGCAAATCCCTTCCAGATGGGCCCTTTTCCCCTGGGCAAAGAGGCTCTGTTTTCACCACTGCCTATATGCGGAAGCTAAAGAAATGTGTTGGCCTCAAAGACTGAATTCCACCAATACAGCCCGTGTCAGCTCCCTCCCCCTTTCCAGTTCCTTTGTCCCAGTGCAACTTTCTCAAAATATCTCCTGACTGATAGCAATTATTTCTAATGTGGCATTTTATTTTAATGGCAACTCTAGTTAGTAGGGTTAGCAACAACCAGAAAAATGAGGGTGATTGATAAATCCTTCAAATGAGAAACACTACTAGTGAGACTCAGGGGCCACTTACTCACTTGAAATGTTAATTTGATCATCATTATAAATTTATCTTTGCTTCAAGGATATTTCTGACTTATCCAGCAAAAACTGGAATTTGAATTTGATTCATAGCAAATGATTCTTTCTTTCAGATGGAACCGAAGGCCTCACACATGCTAGGCAAGCACTCTATTACCAGCGTACACCCCCAGTTCTTGTTTGGATTTTCTGTTTTAACAGCACAGGAAATACTAGGCTAGATAGATAATACACCCAAAGCCATAGGGACCATCACATAGTCAAGACAATTTAAGGTTACGGTAAACTGGCTACAATATCAACACCTTAAAGGAGACTCATGCAAGACATTGGCGGCAGAAAGTTTCAGGCTTTAACGTTCTTGCATGGAAATTTTTGAAAGACTTAGAGGAAATCAAATCCATTTCCATGTGGACTAAAACATACTCCTGCATAACAAAGGTCAGAAGTGATTATAGAGTTAGAGCCAGCTGAGCTTCAGAGCCCACCCGTACTTCACAGAAGAGGCTGAGCTTGGGGAGATTAAGTGATTTACCCAAGCTCACACAGCTGGGAAGTGACAACAGGGCCTGAGCACAGCCCTCTTAGCACTAATCCACTACAACACATCAGCCTCGTACAGTCCTAGTTCACAATGGCCTCTGGATCCAGCCTGTGCCAAACACATGGACCAGAGAGCAGAGAACATGCACAATATGGAAACTAGACACCACCCACCTCCTGTCTCCAGGCTAACCAGGCAGCTGTAAGACTGTTTAACCTCACGTCTTCATTACATGCTCAGCTCCTATCTCCTCGTTAGGTCCTTCACTTCCCTTCCTCCTGCCTACTCAATTGCTATGCCATCACTTTGGTTCCCAAGAGCCCCAGATCTCCATTATTGCTCAGGTTAGTGGACTGATGAGGATGAAAGTTTGGTTCAGTCCTGAAAGAACCACCATCGTTGGCTGTAAGAAGTTGGGTTTCTGCTGAGGAAACGGTTTTACTGTGTATTCCTTTGTACCTACCCTGCTGAGACATCATAGTCACATCCTCTTCAGAACAAGAATCAGGGATACAGACGCCCACACTGTAATCGGCTCCATCCTGGGAAACACAATGCCACAATGCTTTTTAATTTCAGTGTTCATAGCACATAGGCATAATCGTTTCTAAGTAAGGCTGTTGCCGGGCTACTGATATGTTAAGCAGATTGAGAGAAAAATGGTGTTGAAGAAGAAAACGTTTCTAACTTCCCAAGACGTGGCTTCTCCTTTACTGAGTGGATTTCAAGAATATTAGATGCACCCATATTTATATTAAAATATGCTCCCAGGTTTAATGTAGCTGATTGTTTAAGAACCAGCTGCTGGTTTTGCATAATCTGTTCCACCAAACTCTGCTCCAGAAGAGAGGTCATTAACGCTAACACCACTATGATTTTTAACTAATTTAACTAATTGCCATTTCTGGGTAGCAGGTTGCAATGTATCAAGTAAACATTTTATTAATAAATCAAGCCAAAAATTAGAACATCTGTCTCTATAAACGTAATTTCAAATTGTAAATATTATTTCTGGGGTATTTATTATAAACTCATAACTTTTATGACTGTATAGACCTGACCTTTTGCTCTGATATCAAAGCCATTAATCTGCTTTAAAAATGATGTTTATACACACTGATTAAATCCTCAAGCAATCATCATCCCAACCTTCAGTAAAACAAGGGAGGCGGAATGTTAATCTCCCCGAGTCGATAGTTAACCATTGTAAGCATTTTTAGCATTAATATCTGAAATCCTGCATTTCTTGTTTCAGACAACTGTTTTTAGCCAACTAGTATGGTAGATTCCTTTTATTACTGTGTGACATGCATAAAATCTATCCTATATTTAATAATAGACTATGCTATGCTATGCTGTGCTTTTTCCCTCCCAGACAATGAAACGATTAATGTGCTTTGAAGACAGTGAGCCCTGCAACATGGGTCAACTGATTTAGTAATGGATTTATAAAGTCATGGTTCATCTGCTAGAATAACCCCAAATTTGTGTTTAGAGCCTGTTTCTGGGAAAGGGGATAGGAAGTCCATCCTCCCTGTGATACTGCAAAAATTGATGTGAAGTCAGGAGCTTATGCTCAGAAACTGTGTTCAAAGCTCCTTCCCTTGATCAGCATGGTACCAGGCAATGATGAGGATTCCCAATGGCAAGGCATTTGGTGGGGAGCATGGTAAGAACCCACAATACCCCAAGAACAAGAATCCCTACTGGATCCCAGCAGTGGCTGTACCTGGAGGGAGCTGCCAACCAACCCAGTGAACATGCACAGGATCTTGCTAATGAAGCTGCTGGCCAGAACTCAAGGTTAGAGTCCTCATGAAGATCATCCAGAGGTCTTGCCCCATAATGTGTGGTTTGTGAACAAGTCCTTCATATAATATCTTGCACTCAGAACAGGCTAAGCCAGTTTCTACCAACTATTAAACTATTTTAGCTTTAGCTTTGTGCAAAACATTGTGATAGCTTTTTGTCTTCCTAAGAAAAGCAATTGGTATTGTATTGTGTCCCAGATCATGACATTCATTTGTCTTCCAAAACCAAGCACACAGGTTACACAGGTCCCTCGTGCTCACCTGGAGTATATGCAGCTTGCAATACTGCCCTTGGAAGCTTCTAGTGGGGCTGTGGGCAGAGAGGCACTCACTGTAAGACCCGAGCCTGTCCAGATTGCCATTAAGAACGTTGCTCCCAAGCTTTCCCAAGGAGTCATACACTGGAAAAAAAAAGCTTGCAAAATTACCTTCAAATGAATTCACCAGAACTGAGATCTACCTTCCAAACCTATAAACTTAGACAATTGAAAAAAGAAGAGAGACAGATTTATTCAGATGCCACTTTTTGGTAGCCTCACTCATCAGCAGGGGAGAGCAATGAGGTATACACTGTGCTATGATTTGTCAGCAGATGTTGAAAAAGATGAAGAGTTGATTTTCTTTTTTAAAATAAATGCTTTCTAGGGACTGAGAAGATGTGACTGAGCTTTGGTTGTTTTTCTTTTACCTCATACACCCCATAAGTTACCTGGTTTTGTGGGACCTTACTTTGCAGAAAGTTTGTTTGTTTGTTTGTTTGTTTTAACTTTAGGAGCAGAAAGAGTGAGCAAGTGGCGCAATTAGTGATACCTCCATCCTGCAAAGACTCTCTTTGTTTGTGCTTATTTATGTCCCTTTTTTTGTTTTAAAATTTATTTTCTCTTCTATATCTTCATCTCATCCTGTCCCTTCATCAGACTGCCCCCATGTTTTAGGTTTGATATATAACCTCTTGTTTGTAGATTTTCTTGTTTTGTGTATGTGTATAGGTCACTGGTATGAATACTTTTTCTCCCTATCTCCCGTTTCTATGTACATCACTGAGGGCTACATTCTTACTATTTCACAATGTTACTGTCCACATCTGGTCCCAGGATTCTAATTGCTATACAATAATCCTTTACTAACTTTGATCTATCCCCAAATGATAGACACATATTGTAGATGGCCTCGATCTACACAAATAAGTGATGACCAATTCCTTATACATGTCTTTGCACAAAACAACATGAGGATTGAGCTTGGCTATGTGAGTGGAACCGCAGAATCAGAAGACACACACATACTTAGTCTGTGTAAACCCCATCAGAGTACTGGCCAGAGTTACTGCCTAATCTACATTCCTCAGAGACACTAGTGACTCTTTTCTTTGCACCATCCAGCTTTCTTGTATGTGGCAGTTAATGGATATAAAACGGTATCTAATCATTGGTTTACTTACCCCTCACCCCCTGTCTAATTAAAAACAAGTCTGGATGGGGCTGAGGATTTAGCTCATCGGCATAAGCACCTGCCTTGCAAGCAGGCGGTCATGAGTTCGATCCCCGGTACTGATAAAAATGAAAAAGACAAAAAAAAAAAAAGTCTGGATATTTTTGTTAGTCATTTAGATTTTTTTTTCAGAGCCCGTTTGCTTTCTTTGCCCAATCTTTATGGATTTCCTCTTTTTCATTTACAAGAATTGCTTATGAAGTGTGTTTAGGTGTGCAAGATAGATGACCATATTACTAAGTTTTGGTTGGATCATTGAACACAACTGTTTGCAGTCTCACTGTTTGAATGTCCACTTTGTATGCTTAATTTTGTAACCTGATCAACTATTTCTAAGATAATATGTAATCTATTAACTAGTGATTTCTTACTGTTTATTTTTTTTTAATTCTGTATTACTTGTACCTTTTTACTGTTTTTGTTTTGGGTTTTTTTTTTCTCTAAATAAAAAAAAGAATTGCTTATGATTCTATATGCTGATCCAGGACTATCTGAGTCATTAAAAATATCTATTTTCTGTTATTTGCCAATGACTCGTAATATCCTTCAGTGAACAGAAATCCATACTTTCGGTATAATCAACTCCATCAATATTTTGCTTATTGGCTATGTAATTGGTCTTTTATTAAGAAATTCTTCCTCATCTGTAGGATACTAAGAGACTTTTGTAACATTATTTCCTACTATCTTTATATTTTTATCTCTCATACTTAGGTCTTTAATTCATCTGCACTCTGGTATAATTTTTCTCCAAAAAGTGATCCAGTTTTCCCAAAACCAGCTCTCAGTAGCTCTTCCTTTCATCATGGATTTATGTAACAAATTCATTCTTCTATTTTTGTACTAAGCTATCACTGAATATTATGTAATTTATGCAAATCTTCTTTTGCTTCCTTACTTATGATTTTTCACTTTTGCCTTGATAAACTTCATACAGGCTACATAACACAATTAATTTGTAGGTAGGTATAGCTGGTTATTTTCCTTGGTATTTTATTTTCAATTATACTTTGTAACTGATTTGTTCATAATACAGAAAAGTGCAATTGATTTTCATTATTCCAGAATCTGGCAAATTTGCTAAATTTCCTTATTAGTTCTGCAGTTTTATTTTCTCCTCTCCAATCTTTGTATCACTATTTTTTCCTTTTCTAGTTTTATTGTTTTTCTTGTTTTTTGCTTGTTTGTTTTCTGGTTTTTGAGGCAGAGCTGCACCATGTAACCCAGGATGGCTTCAGACTTGGTCCAGTCTTCCTGCCACATACTTTTATATCCCCAACTGCTGGGATTACAGGCATGTGCCACCAGGCCCTTTTCTAGTTTTGGAATTGATGTAATAATCAAATTAACAAAATGAGTTTGAGCAGCTTTCATGCTTTTTAATTTTGTGGAAAACTGTAATTATTACTGGTTGCCAGGGCTTAGTGACATTTGGCTATAAAGATATAACATGACTTTTCTGGTGGTAGGGTTGTTCCTTTTTTTGTTTGTTGGCAGTTCTAGGGATTGAACTCAGGGACTTTACACTGAACTACATCCCTACCCCTTTTTATTTTTATTTTTATTTGAGACAGTGCCTGGCTAAGTTGCCATGGCTGCACTTAACTGGTGATCTTTCTGCCTCAACCCTCTAAGTGCTGAGATCAAAGGCATGCACTGTCACATCCAGCATGGTCCTACATCCCAATTGGCATTGGCTTACATGAATATACACACACACTATTATATAGAACTGTAGACACAGACCATATGATATCAATTTATAATCACTGTACTATAATTATGTTAGACATAATTGGGGGAAAGTAGATGAGGACACGATACATGGCACCCTCTTATTCTGTGTCTTTGTAGGTTCTGTATTCATCTATTTGCCATCCATGCATGGCAGGATCAGTTGTATTAACAATAGTTTCATGTTTTCTGTGTTCTGATGCTCTGGCGTACCTTGCTGACTGCGGAGAGACAGTTTTTATAAGAGACACAGTGTCCCTCCAGGAGCGGTCCTTTGATGTGTAAATGAATCTATTCAAACCCAGCAGCCCCAGCCATCTCCTTCATCAAACTCTCAGCTGCCACACCAATATTTCTCTGTTCTGCATCATGCCTGGGCCAGGTACCAGAAAACTAGAAACCAGCCACATTACCCAGTTACCCAGAGCCCACCAGCATTACCCTCACTAGCCAGCCACAAGCTGTTTACCTTGGTCTGTTTTGCTTTCTCCATAGAACCTCAATACAGTAAGTGATCCACACTTTTCCCTTGATCCACTGCCTCCTGTCTAGGCCTGCTCGTCCCTGGGTGGCCCTGGGAGGCATGGCTTGTGCCCTCCTCACAGAAAATGAAAGTTATAAAAATTTCCTTTCTTGTTTTGTTTCTTGGTTGGTTGGTTGGTTTGTATTTTATTTATTTATTTATTTAGGTTTTTTGAGACAAGGTCTTTGTAATTTAAGCTAGCCTTGAACTCACTATAGTCCAGGCTGGCCTCAAACTCACAGCAATACTCCTGCCTCTGCCTTCCCTTGCTGGGATGACAGGCATGGACTCTCATGCCTACCTAAAGATGTAAAGTTAAACAGCCACCACATCCAGCTCAAAAATTTCCTTTCAATGGCCTCTGCCTGTCCATATACTCAGTCACCTCCACAAATTAAACTCCCTTGGAGAAAGGTGATATATCTCCAAAATATTTTTGCATCTTCCTATAAATCAGTAATTATTTTAAAATAAAGCTTTATAAAAATAAAGTGAGTTGGGAAGATTTCATGCTTTTGAAGCGTCCTGGAATAGATTATTCTAGATTACAAAAGGGTGGAACTCAACTGTTCAAACCACTTTTTGTGCTTTACTGAGAAAGAGGAAGGTCTCTAATTACTACATTCGTTTATACTGACTAGTCTTCAATTTTCCTATTTCTTTTTTTTTTTTTTTTTTTTTTTTTTTTTTTTTGTCTTTTTCTTTTTTATCAGTTCCAGGGATTGAACTCACGACCACACACTTGCAAGACAGGTGCTTATGCCGCTGAGCTAAATCCCCAGCCCCTTCCTATTTCTTTTTGAACATATTTTTAAAATATTTTTTTTCAAAAATGTAACCATTTTGTTTTGGTTTCCAAAAACCAAGATTTCTTAGTTATTTTTCTCATTGCTGAGACAAAACACCCAACAACCAAAGATAAAGGAGGAAAGGTTTATTTGGCTCACAGTTTGCAGAGGTTTCAGTCTATCACTGACCCACTTCAAGACATTCCAGACAGGGTGGCACACAGACAGGCGTGGCAAAGGAGAAACAGTCCATAGCAAGCAGGGAAGGCAGAAGGCGGCAAGCAGCACACACACAAACGTGGCAGCTTCTTTCTGTCCCTTTATAATCTATCTAGATGACCAGCCCAGCAGGTAGCATCACACCCAGAACTATGCCAAACCAATCAGTGGACCAGTTCAGTAATCACACACCCTTCATCCTAGCATCACACGCTTCAGCCACCTTCAAAAAGCCCTCACCTAGGACCCACAGGAGGCTTTGGGAGACAAATAGACACAGTCATAATGCAAGGCTTTGCTGTACCTATATTACTTCTATTTTTTTTTTCATGTTTTACTTTTTATTCGTGTCTTCTCTCATTTGTATCCCTTCAGTCTTGCCTGAAAATCAACTAAGGAGACTTCAGTCTCCCTAACAGTCAATTTGCCGTTTTGCTAGTCTTGGTTTAAGCTGTTCTTCTATTTTGTTTTCCATTGCTTTTCTATCCTGCTTTATTTTGTCCTTGTTTCCTTGAGATTGATCTGTTCTTTTTTAATTCATTGTGCTGAGCACTGCCACAAGTGTTTTCAAACCTCCTTGCTTCCTGTCACATACTTGACAGAAATTCCCCCTAAGCAAATTCTAAGTCCTGCTTTACCTGCACTC